TGTCCTTGGTCTGTCTCCACTGGCAGTCCAGTCCCCAGTCCTGGTCTAGTCTTGGGCCAAGAAGATCCCCATATGGGGTTGCTAATAGTTCCTTATCATTGCTTCCCGAGCCTTCGCCGTGGTGCACGTCTCTGCCCATTTGGGTGCTGTGGGCCCCCTACCCAATCCGGGGGCTATCCCTTTGACCCTCTGGGCTCCCTGGTATCTGCCCAATCCAGGTTCCAGGTGTCCTTCCCCCAGAGCCATCCAGCCCTATGTGGGGCTCAGCCCTCTGCCCTGTTATCTAGTCTCACTAACATGTTGATAATCAGGGCTCTGAAGACAGAATCACTTTCCTTTTCAGTTCTTTAAAAAATCAGAAGCAAAATTGAATATATTTCGTAATCCAGCCTGGGTTTTGTCTTTACTCCAATGTGATTTATTGTAAATGTTCATTTCTTGTGTGGATGAGGTGATGAATGCCTGCAGGCATATCTCCTCGCAGAGGAGCTGGAGGGAGGGTAGGGGAGGTGTACCTGGAGATTGACTGGGAGAAGCAGAGCAGATTCATGGAACCAGGGTAGCAGATCTCTGGGTACCTGAGGAACAAAGGTGTCTCCAAGTATAAAATCACCTTCACCCCCTATCCACCAATTACAAGCAACTTGTTCTGACTGCCTTCTCCCCCTGCACTCTTCCACCTCAGAAAGGCCCACCTGCAGGTGAGCAACTTCTGCCCAGCACCATCAACTAGAGCACATGTGTCAAACACAAGGCCCGCGGGCCAAATCCGTCCCGCCAGGCCTTGCAATGTGGCCCGCACCGCGCTGTCATCACTGCACTCTGCTGCGTTTCCATCACAATGACAGTTTATGACTGTTCAGTAAACCATTCGGCCCGCGATTTAGGCTGGATTTAGATTTTGGCCCCTTCTCTGATTGAGTTCGACACCCCTAATAGAGAGTCCCCTACCGAGTGAGATCTTAGGTGGTACTGCTGGAATCCAGGGCATCTGACACATTCTCTCACATCACTTTCTATTAGGACACTTCAACTTAAAAGTTTAAGTACAAAGGATGAGTCAACACAAAGAAAAATAGAAGTAGCAGTAACTGGAGCCTAAAGCAGGTGAACCTCTCTCTCCTGGGCGGTTTGTATTCCCCTGATGGGCCTGGATTACCTGGGGGTGAGGCTTCATCTAGATACCTTGCCTGCTTACAGGGGCCTGGTAGGGCCCCCAGAAGCCTGTTCTCCAGCTCCCTGGGCCTGGTGGGGCACATGCTCAAAGGCTTCACTGAGGACAGGGCCTGCCTAGGGTGAGAGGGTCCTGGTGGGCTGGGTCTTAGTCGCTGTCATGCCCTTGCCTTCTCTTACAACAGGGCAAGGAGTCAGAGTAGTGCTTGTGGTGGCAAGTCCTGGGGTATATGAGGGAACTGCCTACCACCTGCCCCAGCCCCACAGGCACAGCTGCTGTTCCTACTTGGCAGGAGCCAGGGACCTCAAGGAAGTTCACCTTGGTCCTGTGCTGTTTTTCTCCTCTTTCTTGTGCTTTTTTCTTTTTCCTGCTCTTGTGATTCTCAGGGCTGTGAGGGGGACACACAGTGCCAGCAGTGACTGGCATAATGGGCAGCTCCAATAGGGGCCTTCCCATCTAGGCAGAAAAGTTGTGGGGCCTTTTCATGGTCCCTTCCAGCACATTCGCCATAGTACCTCTTCCTGCACCCCTCAAGTGGCCTCCACAACAGGTGGGCCCAGGCTCACAACTTAAAGAGGCTCCCCAAAAGGAAAGGGGGCCAGAGATGGGAATATCACTTGCCCACATGTGTCAAACACAAGGCCCGCGGGCCAAATCCGTCCCGCCAGGCCTTGCAATGTGGCCCGCACCGCGCCGTCATCACTGCACTCCGCTGCGTTTCCATCACAATGACAGTTTATGACTGTTCAGTAAACCATTCGGCCCGCGATTTAGGCTGGATTTAGATTTTGGCCCCTTCTCTGATTGAGTTCGACACCCCTAACTTAGCCGAAGAGGAAGTCAGCAGGCCTGCTGAGAGCTCTGGCTGACAAGGCCAAGCCCCCTGCCCTTCTTGGAGCACCTGTAGCTCCCCAGGCCAGAAGCCAGTCCACTCCCTTTCCCCCGCGGTCACTTCCTTTGCACCTGCAGATCTCCACAGTCACGTGGGAAGCTGGCAGGAGCTCATGGTACTGTGTAGTTTACCCCTTCCCTCTCGCACCTCGAGGAAGCCGCCCCTCACGTTGCTCAGGCCGGTAGGCTGCTTTTTCACAGTGGAAGGTGCCTGAGTGTCAGGCATGGACCTTTCCTCAGCCCGTCCTCCCCAGTGCGCCCCAGGCTCCTTTCCCGGCGCAGCACAACGCTGTCCGCCTGGCCCTTAGCTTATCACGTGCGGTCATGGCCTTTCTGTCAGCAGCCTACCTGCGCCATCAGCAAGTTGCCTGTGGGAACAGGCCAGTCCTCGGCCTACAAGTGGGCACGCACCCCTGACCTCCACTCGGGCTCACCCACGAAGTATACACACACACACACACACACACACACACACACACACTTGCCGCTTAGGCTGGAACCAAACATGGTTCCAATCTGCCCGTTGCCTCTGGGTTTCCTGGCCTTGGTGCCCACCTCGTGCATCATGGCTGCTGGGCCTTGCCTTTAACCCACGCACCTGAACACTGCCCTGCCCTAGCCCAACCCCAGAAAGGGCAGAAACTGGACCCAAGTGGCTGGACAGCTGCTATTAGAAGCCCTATTGTGTGGCGATGCAAGGACCCAGGGCCGGCGCCCGAAAGTCACTGTCTAGATAAGCGCCGTGTACCAGGGCCCACAGACAGGTGCCCGGGAGGGAAAGTTGGGGACATGAGTCTCTAGCCATTATATCTGCAGCTGTGGGGACCAGGGAGTGGCCACGGCTGGTACCCAGCTGTGGTCTCAGCAGGGCATGCAATGCGGCAGAGAACCTCTGCCCTCTCCTGCCTCGTTGCTGGCTCTACCAGCTGGTGATTGGACAAATGCGTCCCACCTGTCACCACAGCCTGTAGCAGACCCGACTCAGTGACAATGGAATAATGAATGCAGGGCCCATTCAGTAGGGTGGCTGCAGACATGTAATAGGGCGTCCCCTGGGTTGTGGGTTCTTTTACAGAACACTGCCCTAGTGTGTACCCTGCTTATGTGGCCTGCAAGTCCTCAGTGAGTTGGGCAAAGAAGAGGCCTCTACCTGCTCCCCTGGCCCACCTCTGACTCCCTCGCTAGCTTTTTGGGACTTGGGAGCTCCCACAGTGGGATTCAACAGGGTTTGAACCCCAGCTTTGTAATACACTACCACTAAGTTTGAGCCCCAGTTCCCCCATGTGGGAGCCCTTGTCTGCACATGCTCAGGGGCCTCCAGTGAGGGACAGCAGCTCTGCCGTGTAGGATAGCTTGTTGTGGGAAGTATGGGACCTCACAGGCAGTGGTGGGTCCAAAGGCGGCACTGCCATGTCTGACAAGGGCTAGATGCCAAAGGGCGGGAAGATGCTGGGGAGCCGCAGGGTCAGCTCCAAGTCTGCTCTCCCAAACCCACATTACCACGTGGGGAAGACCATCTGTACTCTGGATATTGGGGGTAATCAGCATTGATGGCATTTTAGAGCGAGTTAACTGGATAAGGAGGGCCAGAAGAGGCATGGAAGGAGCTGAGGGGCTATAGAGTACCCCGCCACTGCCACCACCCTAATGGAGAGTGCAGATGAGACTGCTTAACCCCTCAGGCTCCTCAGAGCTCCCCCACCAGGCATTGGGCCTCTAGGTCCATCTTTACACCTCCAGTTCCGGTAAGATCCCCCACCTTCCATATCTAGTTGGGTTCCTCATTCCCAGTGGAAGTCTGATCGCCTGCTTGCCTTCAGTATCAATCCTGCTAGATGGATTTAACCAGAACACCCATTAGGTAAGTACTCTTAGTAACTTCCCAGCACTGACCCCTACCCTGCTCCTGGCACAAATCCACTTTTCCGTGCAACACTTAGCCTCTTCCCCCCACTGCACCCTCAGGCACAGCCCTACCCTAGTCAGTATGTCTTACCATCTCCAAGTGTCAGGAACAATTTGGCCCTGAACAGTGAGTACAGACACTTGCTAGGTGTCTCCCTGAAGGTGAGTAGTAAGCAGTAAGCTGGAGCAGCAGCTGAAGGGATGAAGGATCCAGGGAGGCTGCCAAGGCAGGAATGTTCCTGAGCAGGCCAGAGGATTGGCAGATCGTGGAGGGAGCTACAACTGGCTGCACGCTCAGTGGACAGGATTGAAAGATGTAAGTCCATCCAAGGTGGGTGCTCAGCCTAGCACCCTTCTGTGTGAGCAGGGTCACTTCCCACAGACTTCTGTCTCCCTGGCCATGGCGTTCCCCATTGTCTAGCTATATGTCAGTGTTCTACCATGGGCCCTCAGGTTTATGAAAAAGCCTCACAGCCACGGTCCCATGATCAACCTCCAGGACAGGACAAGGTATAGCCCCATGCCTGGGCCTGGTTAGCTGCTTGTGTAAAAGTGGGTAATTGCTCACTCAGGTCTTGCAGGAAAGGGCAAAAGGTGGCAGCCCACCAGAGCTCCTTGCTAAGATTTAAAAAGTTAGCAATGGACCTTTCTGCTCTGCTTGTCCCCTCTCAGATAGCACTTTCCCACTGTCGGGGTGGGGCTAGGGGGGCATCAGAGAGGGGCAGAGTATGCCAGCTGCAGGCTAGGTGCTACCATCCTTGGATCCCACCCACTCCCCATGTTGTGCTTCCCGGGAGAGCTCCTGGTACTGAGGCACAGGCAGTGCTGGCAGAGCAGGCTCCGGAGCTGAAGAGTGGCTGGACGGTAGCAGGCACTTCCTGCAGTGGGAAGAACACCGTTGACTTCTGTCAACAGCTCATGTGCCCTTTGAACCTCCTCCTAAAACCACAATTTGACCCAACTGATCCCTCCGATGGGCTGTCACAGAGAGCCCTGCCCAGCAGGTGTATAAGAAAGAAGACAAGGTGGATTTAAAATCCTGACACTCCATTTAAAGATGAATGCCCTCCCCTTCTACAGCATCCTGAGGCAGGGCAGCTTGTGGGCATGATCACTTCTTGGTCCAAAACTGCTTGTACTGCTCCAGGTCAAAGCTGTCAGGGAGCTCTGGCTCCTCCTCCTCCTTCTTCCCTCGGAGCTGGGCCTCACGTTTGCGGAACCGTGCCCGCCTCTCCTCTGGGGACAGGGCATCCAGGTCCACAGGCATCTGTAGAGGAAGGGAAGGCACGCGCTCATTCACTGGAAGGGGCCAAAAAGTGTAGCCACTCCTCTCCCTTCAAAGCTTCTCATCTTTAAATAAATTTCTGCTTGTCTACCCAGGAAGTGTTTTTTTATTTGTTTTACACATGGCCTGTTGCTGCTGTCTGATCTTGGTGTGTGGGATGAGTTCCATGACTTGCCCTCCTCCCCCCAGTCCAGCCTAGACCTGCACCCTGGGAGGGAAGCTTACCGCCAGAACTCGCCGGGGCTCCCGGTATCGGATGTGAATGGTGGAGCCATCCTGCTTGACCAGGAGCATGGGGTAGAAGCGTGCATAGGCCTGTCTGTGCACACGAGTGAGCGAAGCTCTGCTGCTGTCAGCTCGACACGAAGATATGTGCAGGCAGCGGCCCACACAGGAGGCCCCCATCACCACATGCTGCCGCACCAGGCTGCAGACACATATGTTGGTCAGTGGCAGGTGCTGGGACCAGAGTGTCCCCTAAGCCCCAATCAGCCAGTTCCTGTGGGTGCCCACAGGGATCTCCTAGGTTTGGGATATGGTCAAAGCACATTCTGCCCCATGTCTGGGAAGAGGCCAAGGAGGGAGAGCACAGAGACTTTTAGACTGCTGAGGACAGGAGACTTAGGATAGCAGTTTCTAGATGTCTGCAACCATGGACAAGGAAACTGCCTTTTAGGGGAACACAGACTTGGTGCTGTGAACTGAATGTATCGCCAAATTCTTATGTTGAAGCCCTAACCCCCAATAAGAAGCTTCAAAAGCAGGGTTACAAGAGTTCATGAGGGTAGGCCCCTTACAGTAGGAATGGTGCCCTTATAAGAAGGGATGGGAACTGGCTTTCTCTATGCCCTGTGAAGACATGGAGAAGGTGGCCATCTGAACCAAGAAGAACATCTCCAGTATTGTGGGAAATAAAGCTGCCTGGTCTGTTGCATTCTGTGGGGCAGCCTGAGCCCACCAAGACCAGTGGAGGCCACTTTCTGAACATGGCATACACTCAAAACCTCCCACACTGGGAAAACACATACTCTGAGGCAAGGCCCTGCTCTGCCTTTTCTCTCACCTACTTGGGGCCTTGCCTTGTGGCCCCCTAAGTCCCCTACAACCTGGCTTTCATGCAAATTTGAATTCAGACCCACCTCCTGCACCTCCCAGCTGATACCCAGGGCTGATGGCCTGGGGGCAAGAACCAGAGCTTATTGACTGTTAAGTCCTAGACCAGCGGTCGAGAACTCATTAGTCAACAGAGCCAAATATCAACAGTACAGACTAAACCGGTTTGGCTCAGTGGTAGAGCGTCCATCTGCGGACTGAAAGGTCCTAGGTTCAATTCCAGTCAGGGGCATGTACATTGGTTGCAGGCACGAGGCAGCTGGTCGATGTTTCTCTCTCATCGACGTTTCTAGCTATCTTCTCCCTTTCTCTGTTAAAAATCAATTATATATATATATATATATATATATATATATATATATATATATATATATATCTCCAGCTCTCTGGAAACTCTAAAAAAAAAATATATATAGCAACAGGACAACGATTGAAATTTGAGAGCCAAATTTTTTAAACTTAAACTTCTTCTAACACCACCTTCTTCAAAATAGACTCGCCCAGGTATTTTGTGTAAGAGCCACACCTAAGGAGCCAAAAAGCCCCATGTGGCTCATGAACCACAGTTTGCCAACCATGGTCCTAGACCATTAGCTGAGCACTCTGAATTTTGGCCAAATGAATCCAGTCCCTGCCTTCAGAAGTGTAAGATGGGAGAAAGGAGATGGTGGAGGAGCACCAGCACCAGCAGAGCCTGCAGTCAGTGCCAGGGAGCCCAGGGCACGGCCTCTCCTGAGAACCTGAGATCAGTGGGCTGCGGAGGCTTCTGGGAGGGATGAAGCCAATCCTTGAGGAGAATGTTGGTGTTCTCCCACTCTAGCAGTGGTTCTCGCATGAACCTTTCCCAGGACGAGGGCCCTCCAGGGAAAGGTTCCTTCCCCATGTTCACACTGACTCAGACTGCAAGTGTCACTTCCCTCTCCCCAGATTCCACAGAAACAAGAAACCTGCCCTCGTTTTCTCCTCTGGCAACACTAACCACACCATGCTTCCCATTTGGGGGAGCCACTGGGGCAAGGGGAGCAGGCAGTGCCTGTGGGAACAGCAGGAGAGCCATGGCGTTCTCCAGGGGCCCAGAGCAGAGACAGGTTGCAGGCTCTGAATAGGAAAGTGATTACCACGACTGCCTGGTGCTAAATAGTCACTAGCGGCTTCCAGTCCCCCCTCAACACCCTGTTAAAGCATCTACACATGTGTGCTTGCATGTATTCTCCAAATAGCAAGCAGTGGCCTGGGAGGCTTCCCTATGGCAGCATGGCTGAAGCTCCAGAGTTAATATTCCTTTGGATGACCCCATGACAGCAATCACAAGGAGCCTGGAAGTTGGTGCTTACCCAAGCATGCTGCCCACGACTGTCATTCCTCCTGAGGGTCACTGTGGCATGTGAAGGCCCAGTGTGTGACCTGGTGAGCAAGAAAAATATTTTTTAAAGTATGTTTTTGTTGATTTCAGAGAGGAAGAGAGAGGGAGAAAGAGGTAAAAACTTCAATGATGAGAGATGATCACTGATTGGTTGCCTCCTGCACGCCCCCCACTAGGGATGGAGCCCACAAACCAGGCATGTACCCTGACCAGGAATTGAACCACTGAGCCACGCCGGCCAGGCAAGAAAAGTATTTCTAACAGGCAGGCTTTTCCAACATAATGGATTCTTGCCAAATCCCAGCCAGGAAGAGCGCCACAAACCAAATCACATCTATAAACCCGTATGTGGTTCCCAGGTCACTGCCAGGCTCTCGCCCTAACCTGATATTAGAATCACCCGTGGAAGATTTGTGACCAGCAGATGCTCAGGTCCTACTCCCAAAGAGCCGGACTCCAGAAGTCTGGGCAGGGCCCGGGCCCATTCTGGCGAGTTAAGAGTCAGGAAGCTGCTCTGAGCATGCAGTGCAACAGAAACTGGTTGGCTCACACCTTGTTCTCCAAGGTCATTTAATTCTCACAATTCAGCAAAGTGAGGACCCCTGTGGCACGTGGCAGGAGCTGAGGCCAAGGGTCACCCTTACTAAGCCCTTACTCTGCTGAGATCGCATTCAGACCCCAAGGCCGAGCCGAGAGGTGTGGGCCTGTCTCGCTGTCCCCTATCGGTCAGCGCAGGAACTGCGGGCCTCCTGTCGCCCGCGGCGACCCCGCGGGACACGCAAACGCTGTGAGCTGCCCCAGAGGACGCGGCGGGACCCGAACCGCCCGTGGGGAAGCCGTCCCCGCCGCACGACGCCGCACCTACCTGCCGCCCTCACGCAACGCGGCACCCACACCAGCCCCGCCGCGGCGCAGCAGCCACGCCACCACCGCGAGCCCCCGTCGCTCGGCGCTGACGCACAGCCCTCGGGGCGCGGCGCTGACGTAGCCCCGCGAGCGGAAGTGGGCCGGCGCGACGCGGCGACGCGCGCCTCGGAGGGTGGCGCCGGGGCCCCTTATGCTGCGGCGCCCGCTGGCGGGGCTGGCGGGGCTGGCGGGGCTGGCGGCGGCCGCCCTGGACCGCACCTTCGTGCACGGTGAGTGGCGTCTGAGCGCGCGCGGGCCCCGGAGCTCCTTCGTGCGCCGCCGCGGACCGCACAGGAGGAGCCGCTCGCGTCCCGCTCTCCCTGCACCCGGGACGTGGCCGCCCGCGTGCTCCCGGGTGCGTGAGGGGCCTGGGGGCGGGAGCCGCCGGAACTCCCACCGCCACCCCGTCCGCGGCAGTTCCCAGGGCTGGCTGGTCGCGGGGTCCTAGCGAGCGAAGAGGGGGCACGAGGACTGGGTAATGCGGTTTCTCCTGGAGGTGAATTGACTTCGTTTAGGATCGTTTTGAAGTTGTGTCCTGTGTGTCCGGGTGTTCAAGTTGGCTTTTGGTGGAGACGCATTAAAAGCCGGTTCCCCGGTGCCAGTTCTCAGAACGTAGGAGGAAATTCTAGCGCGGAAAGCTCCAGGCAGCTGGTGAAACCCCTGCAGCCTGGGACTTCATGAAGGACGCGGAGGGGCAGAGAGGGGAAGCAGGCTGACACTCCTCCAGGGTGGGCACTCAGCAGAGCCGGAGACCCTGGGAGAGCAGGGGCCATCACGTGGCGCCTGAGGAACCTGGTATGGCATCATCCCCACGGTCCCTGCCAGCTTGTGGGGCCCCCAGGCCTTTTCCAAGGCCCACGACTGCGGGCAGATACAGGTACACCACCGGGAGCAGGTTCTTGGGGGCGGGCATGCCTGACTTGTGGATGTGGTCATTGATGTTCAGCTTCTGTCAGTCCCAGAGACCAAGTCCAGATTGCTGGACCCGCCCCTCTGCTGTTCTTAGACTTTCTTTTGGGAACAGAGAAGGAATGAATCTAGTTCATCCAGGTGCTGGTCTGGGGAGGAGCAATGAGGAGGTCACCTCACCTGTTATCACTGTTGTCTTCCACTTGGGAAAAGGGAAGCAGTGAGCTGAGGTGACAGCTGGCCAGTAGAGGTGGGGCCCACAGGGACAGGAAGAGGGGAACCAGGACTTGGCCTCGTGTGAGTCCCCCAGGCAGCATGCCTGCAGGCTTTTCTGGGCTTTCTGTCACTCTTAGATCTTCCCCATCATAACTTGCTGTGAAGAATGCAGGAAAACCTCTCTCTCCACTCAGGAGGGATCCGGGAGGGGTGGGGCTTCCTGTCTTACCACTAACAAGCTTAATTTCCTGCTATGTGAGTTCCCACTCTGTGAATGCTCATAGAATGCCACGCAGCTGCCTGCAACACCACACTCGCTTATGTGCAGGTCAGGGCCACACCTGTGACCGGTGCAGTGTGCTTGGACTTTGTTTAGATCCTGGTCACGTAGATCTGGCCCTTGATCTTTGACTGGGATGGGTGATATCAGTTATTCTCTATTCTTCTTCTTTAAGTAGGTTTATAATTTTTTTTAAATATTTTTTTTATTGATTTCAGAGAGGGAGAGAGAGATAGAAACGCCATTGATTGGCTGCCTCCTACATGCCCCCTACTGGGAATCTGGCTGGCAACCTGGGCCTGTGCCCTTGACCAGAATCGAACTCGGGACCCTTCAGTCTGCAGACTGATGCTTTGTCCACTGAACCAAACCCGCCAGGGCTCGGTTATTTTCTTGAGTAGCAGATTCTGGGAGTTATAGCGATACAGTCACTACTTTTCTATTCAGCCACTTAGACAGTAAACTTCAGTTTTTTGTAGCATGTTCACCACAGCCTGAAAACCATGTTCAGTCGATCTGCGGAAGAGCAGAAATGAAGAGGGTGTTGTGGTGTGTTTGGGTGGAAAGCGGTGACTCCAGCCCACCAGCAGTGCAAGTCAGTGATGAGGGTGAGCCCCTGGGAGCACTGGAAGGGGGGCAGGCACTTTGGTAGTCGACCCCAAGTCCTTGCTACCTCCCATGCGCCAGGCCTCTCCCCCCTCCCCCCAGTTCCAGCTGACTCTGCACTTGAGGGTTTCGGTTTCTTCTCTGAGAGCAAGGCTGACCCTGGTGCCTCTGCCCTTCCTGCTTTGTAACTCGCTTGCCTGGGACCCTTCCCCTCTTGTGCATCCTCTGCCCTCTGTCTGTGATGCAGAATTGGGATTCGGTCCAAGACTGAATGCTGGTTCTTCTCCTCTATGGAAAGAGACCCTGGCATGCCATGCAGCACCGACAGGCCCAAGTCCTGCACGGACTCTGTGGCTCTTCCTCGTGCTTTTGGGGGGCCAGCTTTCTTTTGTGAGAGGAATGGTTCCCACCCCGCTGTGGGGAGAAGTGAGGAGTAATGGCTGGCGCTTTGTGGCTGCCCCATTGCAACCCAAGTTCCCAACAGCTGAGCGGTTTGGCCAGGATGTGTCTCTCTCAGGGGTGGGACATGGCCTGCTGTCCTGAGCCAGATTCTGTCCGGTCTATGGCTTGTTGCAGGCAGGGTTTGACTTTCCTCTCCATGTTCTCAGAGGCCATACCTTACCTGGTATCTTGTGGGGGAGTGGGAGGAAAGCGGGGTGGTGACAGTGTCCTGCTCTTGGGACAGAGCGGGAAGAAAGGGGAAGCTGGAAAGAGGAGGATCCCCTTGTGCTTCTGGAAGAAGGCTGCCCGGCTGCGCTGGGTGCTGCGCGGGCAGGTGCTGTCGAGAGCATTCCGGAATGCACATGCTTGCGTCTGGGTTTTTAGTGCAGTCCTGTGAGCTTTGCCATTTCTTGCCAGGCCACTAGGTTTGGGATTGTGGGATAGTCGAGAAATGGAGAACACAGAATACCCCAGCTAGAGGGCTCTGCCTAGGAGATGACTCCTCTGAGGTACACGTTTCGGTTGGTTGGTTCTGCAGGCCCTGGGGCCAAAGTCAATCTCTGGGTACTCAAGGCCAAAGCACTGTCCCATGCTGGGTGTTCTGTGGAAGGTGGCTTTCCTGAGTGCTCTGCTGCGTGTTTACTGGACAGAGGCCTGTCCCCTGCGGCCGTCCAGGGCCGGGCCATCCCTGTGTGGTTTGTGTGGGCCCCTCGGGGTAAGACTCAGCACACATGCCCTTAGCCAGGCTGAGCAGGCTGGACTCCACCACCATGAGACAGACTACAGAGCGGGAGAGGTAGTGGCTGCACTGGGCACATGGCGCTTGGGCTTGATGTCGGTGGGGGCTCAGGAGAGGCTGAGGGTTGCAGTGATTCAGTCAGGCAGGGGGTGAGCTTTGCAGCTGCCAGCCAGTCCTGTGCGGACACACCCCCTGCTGACTGCTGGCCCAGTGCAGGTATGTGGTGAGCCTGGGAGTGCTGCTCAGTGGGACAGGCTCCCCTACCCAGTGTCCCACCACGGGGTGGAGGGCGCCCAATAGAAACCAGCGTTTGGATGTGAGTGATAAGCAGGTCGTGTGCCACATGCCATGTGCAGTGTCAGCACTGGGACTTGGTGTGTTGTTGGTCCAGGCTAGTCCTGTGCAGGTTTGCAGTCTCCAGGTGTCAGAACTGTCAGAAGGTGTGGCCTTACTGCAGGCGTGGGGAACGCAGCTGGGGAAGCATGTTGGAGAAAGCCCTGGGTCTTGCTGACCAGGTTGCTGTTGGAGGCTGGAGGGTGCCCCTCGGGATTGGGGGGGGATGAGGTAGGGCACTCCCCCATGGCAGACACATGACAGAAAGCAGAGCGCCCCTGAGGCGCTTCTGTGCAAACAGGCAGTGGGCCTCCCTCCCTTCTCTGTGCTCCCAACCCCCCTAAGGGGCACCTCCCAAGTCCCTAACAGGAGGGTAAGGGTGCCTTTGGGTCCTCCTCTCCCTGGAGGTAGACTCCCCAAATTGGGTGCTGGGGATGAGTGCCCACTGGGTTGAGGGCTTGCCACTGTGATCAAGGCTCCGGCAGGCCTCCTGGTCCATCGCTGTGGCCATCACCATGTGTCCACTTGGGGCTGCTCCTGCCCTGGAAGAACTAATGTACCTGTAGCACCAAACAGCCGCAGGTCCAAGAGTTTAGGCCGGAGAGGCTGGGCAGTGTGGGCGTCAGACCCCAGCCCTCAGTCCCTCACGGGACCTGGTGGCCCCCAGCCCCTCCACTGCCTTGCTAGGTGTCCCCCTCCACTCCCCTCCCCAGTCACCCAGTACCTAGGAATCAGGACAGATCAGGGAGTAGGCTGGGCTGCCACTGGGACATCCTTCCTGAACAGCACAGGGCTTTGTGAAGGTTGCCATGAGGGAGAGACCTCTTGTGCACCAGGCCTCCAGGGAGAGCCAGGGCTGCACTTTGCTAATGGCCACGTGCTTCGAGCCAGCACACGTGTGTGCAGCTGTGTAGGTGGCATGTATTTGGGGGGAAAGCGGGGATGCCAGTGAGAAGCCAGGAGTCCGCTGGGATTTTCTCTAGATAGAAACAGGGTGCTTTTTGTAATGTGTGTGGTGTGATTGCCCAGAATAGCAGTGCTTAAGCCAGATTACCCGGCTGGCCTACATTGTGGATTAGGAAAGCAGTGCCCGGTGGGGGCCCTGCTGGAGATGGGCAACAAGGTGTCCCTGAGCCAGGTGGCCTTCCCTCCTGGCCACTGATTGCACCTTGGAGGTTCCACGCCTTATCAGAGGGCCCCCAGACAGCCAGCAGGGCCAGGCCTGCCTAGGGAGCCGTTCCAGTTCCCACATGCCCCTCGGGATTTCCCTCTGAGGCAGGCACACTTGCTCCTGGCGTTCTGCCTTCAGGCTCACGTGGCTGGGTGGGTAGCCGCTACTGAAGGGCCGGAACTAGCCTCCTCTTCCCAAAGGCACCGAGTGGGCGGGGCTGATCGCCTCGGGAGTTCAGTGCTGAGAGGTCAGAGCTGGCTGGGACTACCCACTCCTCCCAGCTTAATCGGAGCAGCCCAGGCTGACAGAGAGGGCCTCGCCCACCCAGGAAGTAGGTCCTGTTCTGGGGAGGGGTGTGCGGTGTCAGGCAGGCTCAGAGCTGTCAGGGTTGATGCTTTCCTAAACCCCTGCCTCACCCACTCCCATCTGTGGCAGGTGTCTGAGCCTGTGCTGTTGGCTGGGAGGGAGGGTATCCGAGAGGAGGGGAGGCTAGGAGGCTGTGGTCCTCTGGATCGGCCCCTCACTTCCGGATGGAAGTTCCCAGAACAGGGTTTGTTAACCTCGGCCACCTTTAAGGCAGGGCATGGCGCCTCGGAAATGCAGGGGTGGGGACCCAGATGTGCCTCTCCCAGGAGCAGAAGTCCAGGCTCTGGGGGCTGGGAGGGCACAGCCAGGGAGGTCATGTGTTTGTGGTACCAGGTAGCCCACCCATTGAGGAGGTGCAGCCAAGGTTTGAGTGTGGCCCCCAGCTCAGATTCCTGGGGAGAGTTGGGGTGGAGGGGTTGTGACTGCAGCTGTCCCACTCACTGGGGTCCCTCAGGCCTGCTGATGTGTGCTCCCTCACCCACAGGGATGTCAGGACCAAGGCCTGTTGTCCTGAGTGGACCTTCTGGGGCCGGAAAGAGCACCCTGCTCAAGAGACTTCTGCAGGAGCACAACAGCATCTTCGGATTCAGCGTGTCCCGTGAGGCCCTAGGGCTTGGGGGGCCCTGTGATCCACAAATATGGGGACTTGCCCACACTGCTAACACCCCCAAGAACCCGCTCTCACACGGGATGTGCCCATACTGCTGACCCCCCTGAAGTCCCTCACCCGGGCTGCACCGGGCCCTTCGGGAAGGCCCGGGATGGGATGTGTGGGCTCCTGATGTTCCAGACGGGTCACAGATGCTTGTTCCTAGACACCACGAGGGACCCGAGGCCCGGAGAGGAGAATGGCAAAGGTAAGCTGGCCCTGCCACTCAGTGCCCCGGTACAGGTCTGGGGGCGCCCCCTCCACACACACACACACTTGTCAGGGTGACACATGAGGCCTCATTTCCCCATCTGATGGGTGGGTGGGCAGGCCTAGTTGGATAATAGGCATTAAATCTCATGCTGACACCAGCTGTCCACGGCAGGGCTCTGACCCCAACCCCAGGCAGTGCTGGGGTACTGATCCCTGCTTGTGCACTGCATTGCACATGGCAGTATAGCTGGGGTCAGCCATGCACAGCCTTCAGGGCTCTCTGACATCACAGCCTTAGCAGGGTGTTTGTATCTTCCTGAGGCAGAGCACTGAAGTTCCCCCAACCTCCCCCACTGAGTTGGTAGTCACCGGGCCCCTCAGTGAGGACGGTGTGAGAGGCGGTGTCTGTCCCTTCCTCGGATATCTCCCTGCCCAGTGGCTGGAGCCCAGGTGTGGGTGGACAGAGGGCGGACCGGCCCAGACAGCTGGTTCTGCCCATTGATTGCTTGGGCAGTTGTGGCCTGGCTGCGGACAGCTCCACCAGCTCCTGCTCTTGTAGATTACTACTTTGTGACCAGGGAGGTGATGCAGCGGGACATTGCTGCCGGGGACTTCATCGAGCACGCCGAGTTCTCGGGGAACCTGTACGGGACTAGGTGAGTCACCTTCAGCAACCCCCAGCCCGCCCGGGACCTAGAGGTGCAGCCCTGGCAAGGGCTTCATCATCCAGGGATCAAGATCGAAGAGAAGCCTGAGCTCTCCAGGCTGCCCCCTTCTGTCCCCTCCCCGCCCCACCTGGCCAGGCCCCTGTGGGAACAGGAAGCCAAGTGATGGGCTGGTGTGCAGTGAAGATTCAGCAATTAGGGCAGCCTGGGGGAGTCCCCAGCCCAGCAACAGCTGCCTGCCTCCCACACACCCAGAGCAGCATCATTGTCCAGGCGGGCCCAGGCTTGCTATGCGTAGCCTATACCTGAGCCCCCTGTGACCGTCAAGCTCCACCCCAGGTGCAGCTGGTGGGGGCAGTTGGCCCCCGAAGGGGGTCACACTGGGGCTGCTGTTACCCTTAGATGGTGGGCACCCAGGAGCCCTGAGCCCAGTGATGACGCCAGGGCCTTCCTGCCCCTCCCACTGCTGCCCCCAGCCTAGCAGGTGGCCCGGTGTGGCAGGGTTCCTGAGGTAGTGCTTCCGGAAAGGGGAGCAGATGCTGGAGTCAGGATGGCCCCTGCAGGCTCCCTGACAGAATGGGGAGGCAGAACCCCAGGGGACGGCAGTGGAGATGCTCTGGGTCCCTGCTGAACGGCCCCCTCCTGCCTCCCTAGCAAAGCGGCTGTGCGAGTGGTGCAGGCCATGAACCGGATCTGCGTGCTGGATGTGGACCTCCAGGGCGTGCGGAACTTAAAGAAGACCGACCTGCGGCCCATCTACATCTTCGTGCAGCCACCCTCGCTGGAAGTCCTGGTGGGGGTGGGGAGCCAGGCCCGGGAGGGGTGGAGGAGGGGCTAAGGCGGCCCTGCAGGCTCTGACCCTCCTTAGGCACCTCAGGAACAGAGGTTGCGGCAGCGGAACACAGAGACAGAGGAGAGCCTGGCCAAGCGGTTACTCGCTGCCCAGGCCGACATGGAAAGCAGTGAGTGTGGGTGCAGCCAGTGTCCCCCACCCTCCCCAATTGAGACAACTCATCTGCCGGAGGTGGGAGGTAGACCCACAGCCCCTCCCCTCACTGACCCTCCCCCCCATCTCAGGCAAGGAGCCCGGTCTGTTTGACCTGATCATTGTCAACGACAACCTAGACAAGGCCTACTGGAGCCTGAAGGAGGCACTCTCGGAGGTGGGTCTGCCGGGGGCAGGGGTGGATCTCTGTCGCTGCAGTAAAGGGCTTGGGACAGCGGATTTGGGCTCCAGGGCAAGCTCCTCTTTCTCTCCTGCAGGAAATCAAGAAGGCCCAAGGGACTGGCTGCTCCTGAGGATGCCCACGCTGTGTCCTCCCTGGACAGGACCCTGAACCCACCCCAGTGGCCAGGGTGCCCCTGACAAGGTTGGCTCTGCCAGCCTTCTTCTGGGTGCCCCAGATCAGTCCCACTCTCCTGTGGGACCTGGACCCACATCCTAATAAAGAGCTGCTAGTTAAGAGTGTCCTTGAGTCCATGATTGCCGCCCTGGCCCCGCATCCTTCATGCTGGGGGACTCCGGCAGCCCCCTCCTAAACAGCCAGCCCTAAGAGGGCTGCTGGCAGCAGGTTCTACCCCATATCCGCTACTCTGGGTATGGGCCAGTGGGGCTGCTCCCCGATGGCACACTACTTCCCCAGGCTCTCCACATGCCCAGCTCCGCACCCCAGAGACCAGCAGGGGTTCCCTGCACAGGGGCACTAGGGGGTCCCCCAAGGCTGGGCTGCTTTCTGCCCCGAGGCAGGAAGGATTTTGCTGACGCAGCACACACCTCTCCCACTGACTCCCCAAGACAATGAGGCTGGGAGGAGAAGGCCCTGGGGGCTCCTCCTGCCCAGCTGCCCCACTTGGTCCCTGAACCAGGTGAGGGTGGTGATGGGGCTGAGAATACAGGGGCTGGATCTCTGTCCCCTGGAGGCCTCTGTCAGATACTCCATCAGGCGTATGCACCGCCTACTGACCTACTGAGCCCAGTTGGCCTGATGGTCTGGGAGAGGCCAGCTCTGGAAGGACATCTGGGGGGCTCTGTTTGGGTTACAGGCGCCCTGGAGGCTGAGAAGACACCTCCTTTGCCACTCGTCTTGGGTCAGAGCAGCTGTGGTGGCCTGTGGTATAGTGATCCATGCCCAGGCCATACTCCTGCAGTGGGACCAAGACAAGCAGTGGACAGAGCTGGAGGGGGGAGGCTGGGCGTTGTCCATACCCTCAGATGCACAGAGGAGGCCTGGCATTGGGCACGGGACAGTGGGCAGAGGGGGTAAGGTAAGGCTGGCTGCCTCCCAACGCACTGTCACCCAGCTTGGGGGAGGCCCTTCCTTCTCTTGGCCCCATACAGTTCTAGGGACAATCAGGGATTCAGACCCCGGGCCTTCGGGGGAACAATGAGGCCCTTGAAGGCCCTCCCCCCTGCATTGTGCTTGGTGGTGAGAGGTGGCCCTGGATCGGGCTGGGATTCTGCCGGGTGTACACCCTTGGAGGCCAGTGTCTGACCAGCCGGCAGGTGGAAGGGCTCAGAGGGACTTGCATTTTGTGACCTGAAAAAGGTAGGGTGCTGTCTAGGGACCAGCTGTGGGTTGCCCTTGGGGCTGAGCAGTGTCACCCTCCCCTCTGGACCAGGGTTTCAGGCCTGTTCTAGCCTCTTGAAATGGCCTTTCCCCAGGAGAAATGGGCCCAGCTAGGTGTCCATTCTGGGGGATCTGTCTGAAGCCCACTGTTCACAGGTGGGTCCTGACCAGCAGGGTCTTCTGGGATCGCAAGACCTGAAGGGGGAGGCTGCTCAGCGGGAGGAGTAGGGGTGTGTGCCCAGAACCTCCCCCGGCAGCTGGGAACTCATGCTGTGCGGGACTGACCAGCCCAGGCAGGCAGCTATTTGGGCCGGAGGGGGGGCGGGGGAGGGGGAATCTGGGAGCCCCACCCCTACATGTGGGCAGTCAAGCCAGGATGGGTACACCTCCCTGCCCTCCACACCTGACCTGGGGCCAGCCAGCCTCTTCATGGCCTGGGACGGACTTCCCTTAAGTTACTGTGGGTCCTAGGTCCTCAGGCCCAGGGGACCAACAGGAAATAGAACAGACCCATGTCCTCCAGGAGGGCCCCCCAATGTGCCACAGAAATGGCGAGTTGTCTTTGCCAGAGCAAGGATGGTGAGCAGGAGTTGGCAGAGGGCTTGGCAAGGGGCAGCTGCTGGTCCGGGAGTGGTCAGGCTGCTGCCCAGGGCAGGGCCTGTGGTGTGCTGGGCTGTGGGGACTAGGTGGACATGGCAGGGGCCTGGGAGTGCAGAGGAAAAGTGACCCGTGTTCTGCGTTGAGAAAGGTGGCAGTGTGCTGGCTGCGGTGGCTCTACCCAGGGCAGTTTGAGAGGAGGGGTGAGGGGGTTGGGAGGAGTGGAGAGTGTGGGCACTCTGCAGGAGTGGGCAAGGGGCTCTGCATCCTACCCTGGGCCAGCAGTGCACTGGGAGCTCCGGAGGGGGCAGAGGCCAGGCCGCTGGAGCTGTTCGGGCGGTGCCACATGACTTGCTCCCCAGGCCCATGCCCACCACACCTCAACCCTCCCCGGAGGAGCTCCCTCACTTCCCAGTTCCAGCTGCAGCTGAGAGGCTCCTGAGTCCTCCATGGGATCTCTGCCCCCTCGGGTTCCTCGAATCCCAGCTACCTACATCATTGGCCCTGGGATGCACCCACCCTTCCCAGAAGGAGGTGTCTCCTAACTCCCTGCATTTGCTGAGCACCTGGTGTGGAGAGAGTGGCAAGGCGTGTGGGTGAGCACACGTGTGAGGCAGAGCGCATACCTGGACGAGGCCAGCCCTGAAGGCCCTGGGAGGATGAGGGCTTTGGCTGAGATCCAGCCTCCCTGGGACCCACTCTGACAGGGCCTTCAGCCTCCTTGGGCTGAGGGGGTGGGATGGGTGTTGGGGGTAGACTGATGTGCATAGGAGCTGCTGTGCAGTTGTATGAGGGTCCCCAAGCCAGGGATTTGGGTCCTGGCTGGCCAGGAAATCCAGGCAAAACACAACTGGGACCTCCAGGATGGGAATTAAGTGTCCCGGGGAGGGACCTGGAAAGGCTAAACCCCATGGGATCACCACAGAACTGATGAGGGGAGACCTGGGAGAAGAGCTAAGGTTGGGAGGGGGCGTACAGCACCGGGCCTGTGCCCCCAGGTCTCCTCAGGGGGTGGACAGGTGGGAGCCGGCTCTGGGCTCCAGGGCAGAGCCATCTGGAAGTATTCATGGTGCTCACCTGTGGATGAAGGCTGTCGGTGGCAGGTGCAGGCAAGGTCCCTATGTCCGCATGGAGGCAAAGCGTTGCCTGAGACGCCTCATTCCACTGCCCGAGGTTCCAAGGCCAGGGTTCCCCTGCCTCATGGCAGCTGAGCGCTGAGGCCCTGCCCACAGCCCCACCTCGGCAGAGGAAAGTCCCACCCACGTGGCCCTAAGGGGTGCGGGGAGGAAGTGTGGTCAGAAATGGGAAGGAAATTGCTGGCCGGGCCATGGCCTGCTGCACTGCAGGATGGCGCTAGGCTGTCCCTGGCTCTCAGCCCTGCCTCCCACCCCCACCTCCTGAACCTTTGTGCAGACGGGGGGGGGGTGGGGGGGGGGTGTGTACTTGAAGCAGAGAGAGCCCAGCTGCCCACCCTGCAGAGGCCACTCTCCAGGTCTGGACTGGGGGAAGCAAGCCAGCTGTCTCAGGACAGGCCGTCCTGAAGCCCACCATCACACCTCCCTCCAGCCTCTTGGTGGGGATGACCAGCCAGCCGTCACAGGGAACCCCTGTTTGTGCTCACGCTGGCCCAGCAGTCATCGCTCCCAACACCCTTGCTGACTGTTCAAGATCTGCCACCTCCCAGACCCAGGGTTTTTGGCTCCTCCCTCCCACCCCATCCCTCCCCACCCCCAAATAAATAAAATAACCCTCATCCTGGATCTCTGAGCAGCTCTTATCTACACTTGCTCTGATATGGTTTGGGTGAGATTCCCTGTGAACAGAAGTCCCTGCAAACCCCCAGAGTCTGGATCCCTGAAGGGGCAGCAGCCCCCTTCCCGCTGGCCCGGCTGAGCCCTTGCTGGCCGCAGCTGCCCAGCAGCACTGATTGCCCCACTGCAGCCCAGAACAGGTCACCAGCCAAGTCTACCCCCCAAACCTGAGCCTCCAGGCAGACAGATGTGTGCCAGGCAGGGAGATAAGATGGGGCTGGGGCTCAGAGTGATAGGCGGTAACTACAATATTTCAATTAAGGTCTTTATTTTACAGCACTGCGGTTCATAGAGAAGTAGAGGTGAGAAGACCATGTGACCCCCATGCCCACCCACCATGGGACAATCAAAACTATAGCCCACACATCCCTCAGATTCCCCATGTTCCCTTTAAAAAAAAAAATCATATATATATATATATATATATATATATATATATATATATATATATGTTGTTAATCCTCACCTAAGGATATTTTTTCCATTGATTTTCTTTTTTTTAATATATATTTTATTGATTTTTTACAGAGAGGAAGAGAGAGGGATAGAGAGTTAGAAACATTGATGAGAGAGAAACATGAATTAGCTGCCTCCTGCACAGCCCCTAATGGGGATGTGCTCACAACCAAGGTACATGCTCTTGACCGGAATCGAACCTGGGACCTTTCAGTCCACAGACCGACGCTCTACCACTGAGCTAAACCGGTTTTGGCTGATTTTCTTTTTTTTTTGAGAGAGAGAGGGGAAGACAGGAATGGAAGGAGGGGAGGGGGGAGGGAGGGAGAGAGAAACATCAATATGAGAAAGACACATCGATTGGTCAGTCGCTTCCCACACAAGTCCAGACTAGAGTGGGGTCTCGAACCTGCAACCCAGTAATGTGCCTTTGGCCAGGAATCAAACCTGTGACCCTTCAGTGCACAGGCAAACACTATTTTGCCACACCAGTGCTTTCCCATGTTTCCCATGACCTTTTCTTTATAATATATTTTATTGATTTTTTACAGAGAGGAAGGGAGAGGGATAGAGAGCTAGAAACATTGATGAAAGAGAAACATTTATCAGCTGCCTCCTGCACACCTACTGGGGATGTGTCCGAAACCCCTGACTGGAATCAAACCTGGGACTCCCATGACATCATCACCATCATCATCATCATCATCATCATCATCATCATCATCATCATTGGTTAATCCTTATCTGAGGATATTTATCCATAGATTTTTTTTTTTTTTTAAGGAAGAGTGGAAGAGAGAGATAAATATTGATGTGAGAGGAACACATTGATTGGTTGCTCCAGCATGAGCCCCTATTGGGCCTGGGCTGGGGAGAAGCCTGCAACCAAGGTACATGACCTTGACCTGACTGGAATCGAACCCACAGGCCAACACTCTATCCACTGAGCCAAACTGACTAGGGCTCCCATGACCTTTGATGTCCCCAGTTTCCCCCATGAGGCATGTGGTCCTCACGTCTCTGTCCTCTGGGCCCCACTGGGCATGTATATCTCGGATCCCCTGAGTCCCTCAGAGCCCCTTGCCCGATGCCCTCGGCTGTGTCAATGAAAAAGCCCCTCCTGGAACTTGTCTCCTGGTCGCCTGGGCTGAGGTTTTGGGGAGAGGCAGCGAGGGCCGCCCTTCTCACACCATTGCAAGGCCCGTGCTCTCATCCTCGCCTTTCACTGCAGGTGGGTTCTGGTCCCACCCACGGTCACATTTGCAGGCTCTGCTCTCCGTCCCTGTTGTGCACTCTGGGCAGCTGCCCTTGAGGAATGAGGGTTAGACACCCTTCTTCCCCCCCCCCCCCGAGGGCACAGTGGCTCCAAAAACTATTTAGAATTCCCTTTTCCCCATTTAGTTATTCAGTAATTTGTATCAATAGGGACTCGTTCATTTTATACTTTGGTAATAATCTATAACTCAGCCTATATTACTCCTTTATCCACTCTATTGCCCAAGTTGATCTGGTTTCAGACACCCATGGGGAGCTCCTTCCATAAATTACTGTATCGCTTTGCCGTACCCCTCAGCAGTGTGTGTGTGTGTGTGTGTGTGTGTGGAGGGGGGACATGTGCTAGCACTTCCTTACTCTGTCTCCACCAGATGCTCCAGGAGAATTCCTAAAGTGCTGGGACTGGTCCTCCGGATCCATGTGCCAGGGCAGGAGGCAGCACCAGCAGAAGGTGTGGGTTTGAGGACTCCTGTGCATGTCACTAAGACCAGGGCAAGGGTCTTCCAGGCTAGAGCTGGGCACTGCCAGCCCCCGACTGCGGAATGACCACCTTGACTGCATGTGTGACACAGGTCCTGCACACACATGTATGAGCACATGGACGTGCATCTGATCTGAAGAGCCAGAGCCTCTGCCCCTGCTCGAAGGCTGTCTGAGACCCCCGTGACACAGGGGGAACAGAGAGGTTCGCTCCTTCCCCTCCCGCTGCTCAGGATGGCCCTGCGACTGACCACTGTCACCTGCCCTCTTCTCTCTGCATCATCCCTCACCCCCCAGGGCGGGGTCTGACCCATGCCAAGCTGGAGCTGGTCTCTAGATCCCCCGCCACAGGTCATGGGTGTGAGGGGAGTACTTCCACCCCAGGGATTGCCAAATGAGGCATGAAGGCTTTCCCCCGAGAACCAGTTGTTAATACTGACCCCCAAAGCACAAGTCAGGTCTGCCTGCACCCTGAGACTCCCCCCTTCCCCGTGTCTTGGGTGAGAGGAAAGAAGTGGGGGCTGCTCTGCCTTCCCTTTCTGGTGGCTTTAGCCTCCTGTGGTGTGTCAGGTGAGGGTGGAACAGGTCCTGGAAGAGCAGCCAGTCTCAGGCCTGAGGGGTCCTCTGTGAGCCCCTGCCTGCGGCAGAGTGAGGGAGAAGGCGGCCCTGAAGGGACTGGCCTGCACCAGCCTGTACCTGAGTATATGTGCACATGGGAGCGTGCATATCTGCATACGCATGTGTCTGAGTATTTGTATGTGTGTGATGACTGTGTGCGTGAGTGTTTATAAGTGTGTGCACACTTGAGTGTGCATATCTGTGAGTTCATTGTACACCTGTATGCACATGTCTGAGTGTTTGCATGTGTGTAAGGTTAACTGTGTGTTAACACAGGGTATTTTTTATATGTGCACTCATGTGAGTGTGCATGTTATGAGTACGGTTGTACACCTGTATGCATGTGTGTCTGAGTGAACATGAGTGTGTGTCTGTGTTTGCATTGCATACGTGTAGCTCTGAGGTGGGCCGTGCACACAGATGTAAGGAAGTAGGGTCATTTCCCCAGGAACCCTGACTACCCTCTCTTCCTCCCCACCTCCCGCCAGGGAGAGGCCAACTGCATAAAGAGGGCCCGGAGCCCGGCTTGTCTCTGCCTCTCCATCCCACACCTGCCCACGCTGCCTCCAGGCCTGCTCAGGAGGAAGGGCCAGGAGAGCTGGGCACTCAGGGGTCTCCTTTCCCAGACTCCCCAGGAGCAGGTACCGGCCTTGGCTGTGGGAAGGTGGGCACTGGGAGCAGGTACTGGCCTTGGCTGTGGGAAGGTGGGCACTGGGAGCAGGTACCGGCCTTGGCTGTGGGAAGGTGGGCACTGGGAGCGGGTACCGGCCGTGGCTGTGGGAAGGTGGGCACTGGGAGCGGGTACTGGCCGTGGCTGTGGGAAGGTGGGCACTGGGAGCAGGTACCGGCCTTGGCTGTGGGAAGGTGGGCACTGGGAGCGGGTACCGGCCGTGGCTGTGGGAAGGTGGGCACTGAAAGCAGGTACAGCCTTGGCTGTGGGAAGGTGGGCACTGGGAGCAGGTACTGGCCGTGGCTGTGGGAAGATGGGCATGGGGAGCAGGTATTGGCTGTGGCTGTGGGAAGGTGGGCACTGGGAGCAGGTACTGGCCTTGGATGTGGGAAGGTGGGTGATGGAGCAGGTACTGGCCTTGGCTGTGGGAAGGTGGGTGATGGAGCAGGTACTGGCCTTGGCTGTGGGAAGGTGGGTGTTGGGAGCAGGACTTCATACAGCGAGGTGCTGCTGGGGGCTGAGTGGGGTGGGGGCCAAGCATGCATGACGGCTGAGGCTGGCCTCTGGTTTCTAGGCAACCCCATGAAGCTGGCTCACCCAGTTGACTCCCCGTGGCTCTCAGGACCTAGGGTGGGGTTCCCAGACGTGAGGGATGGGAGAGGCTTGCACAGAACCAAGCTTTCCTGGGGAGCACAGGAGGGGCTGGCTCCACTGGAGGCCACTGGGACCTGGGTCAGCAGGGGTGAGTGGTCCACGGAGCAACACAGCCTGTTGACCATCAGCATGGGGTCTCTCCTTTGCCAACCCAGGCCCCACTTCTCTGTACACACCTCAGGGGCAGGGGGCAGGGGCCAGAGGTGGGAGCGGGGCTCCTGGAGGGGCTGTTCCTGCAGCGGAAGGCAGCTGAGTCCCCTCTGGGGCCCTGGACTCCTGCCCCTGTGCTCCTCCGGGCCATGGGGTTAGCTCTAGTCCCCTCCGAGGGTGGAGCTCCCCTTTTGGACCTCAGGTCCTGCCAACCCCCAGCCCCACATCCCCTCCCGCCCCCTCTCTCCCGCCCCTGGCTGAGCTCTGCTGTGGCCGCAGGTCCCGCCCCGCGCCCCTATGACCAACATGAGCTGGAGCTTCCTGACGCGGCTGCTGGAGGAGATCCACCACCACTCCACGTTCGTGGGCAAGGTGTGGCTCACGGTGCTGGTGGTCTTCCGCATCGTGCTCACGGCCGTGGGCGGCGAGGCCATCTACTCGGACGAGCAGACCAAGTTCACCTGCAACACCAAGCAGCCGGGCTGCGACAACGTCTGCTACGACGCCTTCGCGCCCCTCTCCCACGTGCGCTTCTGGGTCTTCCAGATCGTGGTCATCTCCACGCCCTCCGTCATGTACCTGGGCTACGCCGTGCACCGCCTGGCCCGCGCCGCCACCCGCGAGCGCCGCCGCGCGCCCCCGCCGCTGCCCGCGCCCGCCCGCCCCGCCTGGCCCGAGCCCGGGGACCTGGGCGAGGAGGAGCCCATGCTGAGCCTGGGCGAGGACGACGAGGAGCCGGGGCCGGCCGACGGCCTGGGCGCGGAGGACCCGGCGGAGGCGGCGAGCGCGGCCAAGGGCCTCGGCGGCGGGGACGCCCAGGCGGCGGGGGCCCCGGGCGCCCACGGGCCGCACGACGGGCGGCGGCGCATCCAGCGCGAGGGCCTGATGCGCGTGTACGTGGCGCAGCTGGTGGCGCGGGCCGCCTTCGAGGTGGCCTTCCTGGTGGGCCAGTACCTGCTGTACGGCTTCGAGGTGCCGCCCTTCTTCCCCTGCAGCCGCCGGCCCTGCCCGCACGTGGTCGACTGCTTCGTGTCGCGGCCCACGGAGAAGACGGTCTTCCTGCTGGTCATGTACGTGGTCAGCTGCCTGTGCCTGCTGCTCAACCTCTGCGAGATGGCGCACCTGGGCCTGGGCAGCGCCAAGGACGCCGTGCGCGCCCGCCGCCCCGCGCCGCCCGGCCCCGGCCCCGCGCGCCGCCCGCCGCCAGGCCCGCCGCCCGCCGCCGCCGGCCTGGCCTTCCCGCCCGACTACAGCCTGGTGGTGCGCGCCCCCGGGCCCGCCCTGCGCGGCCCCGCGCTGCCCGCCCTGCGGGACCCGGACCGCCCGCCCTGCCCCGGCCTCTCCGCCGCCCGGGGGCCCCCGCGGGCCGGCGCCTCGGCTTCCGGCTCGGGCAGCGCCACGTCGGGGGGCACGGGCGGGGACCAGGGCCGGCCCGGCGCCAAACTCAGGGCGGGCTCCGAGAAAGGCAGTGCCAGCAGCCGGGAGGGCAAGACCACCGTCTGGATCTGAGGCCCCGGCCCGGGGCTCGGCCCTCCCTCCGCCGGCATCGCCTCGGCTGGGGACTCTGGGATGAAGCTGGGTACCGGCCGCGCTGGACACAGAGCATCACCTGCCGTCTCCTCCTCCTGCTCCTCCTCGGCTGGCCGACCTCTCCCCTGGGAAGGGCACCCTCTGCTCGTATCACTACCCCTGCACACCGGAGCCCTCTCTCCCAGTTCTGGTCCGTAAACCCTGAGGAGTGTGCTGGACTGTGGCTAGGGCACTGCCTCCCGCCCCCACCGCCCCCTACAGAGCCACCTTGAGCCTCTCTGGCCCAGGTGCCCAGTCCTTCCCTCAGCTTCCCTGGGCCTGGCCAGCGCCTCAGGACAACGTCTCTGAACAGAGGGTCCAGCCTCCTCCGAGGTGCCTGGCCTGGGCGTTCGGGGTACAATGCTGTCCCCACTCCCCACTCCCTGCAGCAGCCAATGGGACTCCTTTCCTAGCACCTTATTCCTCCCCCCCCCCCAGCCCACATGCTGCTTCCTGCAGAACGGAAGCAATTCCAAGTCTTCTTCCTACAGTAGGGGAAACCGAGGCAGCCCGCAGCTGCGTCTCCTCCCTCCTTGGCCCTTTGGGCACCAGCTCCTAAGCTGCCCGTACTCCTCCCCGAGTGCGGGGCGGGCTTGCATCCTGCCCGGGGCCCCGCCCAGACAGATGGGCGTGGATTCGGCCACGCCCTCTAAGCTTCCCGCTGCCGGCTGGGCCCTTCCCCTGGGACGTCAGTCTGCCTTGCTGCTGGGACCTACAGGGTGGTGGCCTGGAGCTGCGGCGTTGGCCTTGTTGGGAGAAGGGGCTTAGGGGCTCCTGCCCAGGGCCTCTCTGCCCTGGAGCCCCTTCCTAATTCAGACACAGCCTCCCAAATAAAAATCTAACTTTTGTTTATAACTGTATGTGTGATGTGTGTGTATGCACAGGTATGTATTTATGTGCATGTGACCTGTGTGCACATGTCCTGTGTACAAGCACATGCATACATGTATCCCTACGGTGTGTGCAAACGTGTGCATGTCCATCACTGCCTCCAGGTACACAGCTAAGCTCTAGGCTAGCCTGGAGAGCAGCTCCTGAGACACGGGCTGCAGCTCAGTGCCAGGCAGAGGCCAGGCGGGCCCCTCCACGCACACGGGTGGTAAGAACGAAGAGCAGTCCAGGCCCGACACTCAGAGCCAAGATGGCCTGTGGCTCAGGGGACAGCGGGGCCCTGCTGTCTCAGGGGAACTTTGATGAGGTGGCTTTGGTGAGGAGCAGAGGTGGCAGGGGAGGTGGGGAAATCAGCTGCTGTTTGCAAGGAACCACCTTGGTCTAGTCTTCGGTGACCAACTGCCTTCCCTCAGGCCCGGCTCAGGTCCTGACAACCTCTCCTGGCTGGAAGCCCTCTCTTTGCTGCCCCGGGGACCAAGCCCTGCTAACGTAAGAACAGTCAAACCTGTAAAGAATTTTCGTGAGTTAATATGAGCCAAACTGTCACCAATTGCCAGGAAGCAGAACCACAACGGATTGGGATAATTTTCCAGAGCAGTGCTCCGCAAACTGCAGCTCGCGAGCCTCAGTTTGCCTCTCTGTTGACTAATGAGTTTGCCGACCACTGCTCCAGAGAATGGTGGTTTTTCACCTGTTTTAGTTACATCAAAGGAGGAGATGTAAGTAGGTTACATGAAATCCATTGTGATAGGTTAGGGAGGCGAGAGGAAGCCAAGGGCGGGGGAACCCTGGGATTGGATAAAAAGTAAAATGGTAGACACATACTTCTTTTACTCGGGTGCAGGATAGTTAACAGTCACAACAATTAACATGATAACAATGACAATGAAGGAATTTGTGGTCTCCGCCCTGGCGCCCAGGGTATTCGGTTGTGCTCTGAGGGGTCCAGAAAAAAGGGAAGTTACAAGTTACTCTGACATTTCAATGATATGTTAGCACAAATGCAAAAAGACAATAAGCTCAGTTAAGGTAAAGCTTGACCTTGTCAGGGAAGATGCCAGATTAAGATGTAACTGCCCACAAGAACTGCTTTTAGTTAAAGTTTCATTTCAGACCATCCTGTGCGGTTTACCTTAGGTCTCTGAGTTTGCATGACTGCCATGCAGGCCTCCCCTGAGCGTGTCAAGTCAGCACATGGCCCCTTTTCCTCCACAGCTCCAAGGCGGGCTGAACCCTGCCCCTAACCTCAGCCTGCATCAGGTCAGATGCCACCTGTAAGCTGAGTCCCTCTTCCGTGTGGGGTCAGACTGTCGGAGCACCTCCCCTAGGTGAGCCCCTTCCTAGACAAGCCTGCCCCCAGAGGCACCCCGCCTCCAGGCTGAGCCTTGTCCGAGGGGAGCTGCGCTTCAGTGGAGACTGGCCTCTTGAAGAGCCCTCTCCCTGGGGAGCCTCGCCCCAGGAAGTCATGGAGAGCGACTCCAATCTGGATCCAGAGCTGGGACGTACAGCTCACCTCCCTAAAAGAATTTGGTCCACGGAGTAGCAGTCCTGGACTTAGGACTGTGATCCTGGCTTTGTGGTCACCGAGGGAGACTAGGTCCCTGGGGTTGGGGCAGTGCTGTCCTGCCATACCTGGTTTCTACGGGTAGGATCGGGCACAGCGAGTGGCCGAGCTGGTAGTGATGGAACGCCTGTGCACTCTCTCCCCGGCCCCTCCATGCTTCCATGTCAGTCCCCTGCAGCCCACTCTCCTCCTCTGGCAGAGGCCCTCAGGAGCTCAGAGAAATGGGTGGGCATCTGGGTGGGGAACAGTGGAACTTGGGCTTCACAACAGCCCTAATGGCTGCAGAGGGCAGCAAGGAATGCAGGCCTCTACTCCCAGCAGGGATGGGAGGCTGGCGGGACCCTGAAGGTCAGTGCTCCTCATATGATGGTGAAAGCGTCTAGAAGGGGTGGGGAGTGGGGCACGGCCCTACCAAGCAGATAGGGGAAAACACTGGGCAGATTTGTGTTTGGGGAAGAACATTCTAGATTTGAACATTCTGGACAGGATGTCTAGACTTTGGTCTTCTCCTGTCCTTGGACTTGGACTCAAGTGGGAACTTAGGCCACTGGTTCTCCTGAATCTTGAAGATGGCAGATCCCGGGACTTCTGAGCCTCCACCACTGCATGAGCCAATTCTTTGTAACACATCTTCCTCTACAGATCACAAGTTGATACTGGTTCTCTGGAGAACACCCAGGAATACACACCCACCAGCCAGAGATGGTTAGAGGGCACCCCCGCTGAGAGGGAAGCTGCAAAGGGAGGCTCTGTTCTGGAACAGATCTCTCAGCTCAGGCTTCGTGACAAATCCCACAGGCTGGGCTTACACGGACATTTCTCTCCCAGCCCTGAGGCTGAGAGTCCAGGATGCAGGTGTGGGCGGGGCTGGTTCCCTGGAGGCCTCTGTCCTCGGTGTTAGAGGGCCATCTCCTCCTGTGTCCCCACATGGCCGTCCCTCTGAGTGTGTCTGTTCTAATGTCCTCCTCTTGTAAGAACACTAGTCATATAAGAGGAGGCCTTGTTTCACTTTAATTACCTCTTTAAAGATCCTATCTCAAAAACAGCTCCATCTGAAGTCCTCCACCTGAAGGCAGAGGCCTCTGTCTCTGGAACTTGGGGGTTTGCATGCACCACCTGGGTCCTGTCAGTTTTGTGAGGGTTTGTTTGTTTGTTTTGTTTTTTACTAATATATTTTTATTGATTTCAGAGAGAAAGGGAGAGGGAGAGTGAGATAGAAACATCAATGGTGAGAGAGAATTACTGATCAGCTGCCTCCTGCTCATCCCCTACTGGGGATGGAGCCTGCAACCCGGGCGTGTACCCTTAAGCGGAATTGAACCTGGGACTCTTCGAGGTTCTATCCACTGAGCCAAACCGGCGAGGGCTTGTGAGATTTCTTTAAAATATGTTTCTATCGATTTTGAGAGAGGAAGGGAGAAGGCTAGAAAGATAGAAACATCGAGGAGAGAGAAACATCATTGATCGGCTGCCTCCTGCACATCCCCACTGGGGACTGAGCCCACAACCCGGGCATGTGCCTTGACCGGGAATTGAACTAGTGACCTCTTGGTTCATAGTTCAGTGCTCAACCACTGAGCCACACCAGCCAGGCAGTTTTGTGAGCTTTTGAGGGTGGGGTCTTAGGTTCTGTTGTCACTGGTTGTCCTATGCCTGAGAAGCCAGTCTGGGTGTCATCCATGGTCCCGTCTCTAAAACCAATTCCTTGACGCTGGACACAACCTCCACCTCATGCCTGAGCTGATACCTTAATGTGGTGGGCCATGTCTCACCCAGACATGGTTTTTGAGATGCTCAAAAGTCTGTTAACTCCAAGAACTGGAGCCCAGTCCAACCAATAAACCCCTTGTGTTCACTTAGCTACTTAAAAAACAAACAAAAAACAACATGAAAATCCCTCTCCGTGCCCCTGTCAACCTGGGATAACCATGAGGATGAAGGGCTGAACCTGGGCACAGAACTGTCCCCCCTGCCCACCCTGTCTGCCCGCCTGGCTCAGGAGCAGGCCAGCAGGGTAAGCCTCTGTGCCTCATGGGCTCCCTGGGCTGCGTTGGTCGCAGGCCCAAGCCGGGGCAGGGTCAGCCCGGGGCGCAGCTCAGGCAGGATCAGATGGAAAGGCCCCATCTCATTCCCATCCGTTTCCATCGCTGGAGCCAGCTCCCCATCTACTCAGGGAGACTGCAGAGGGCTGCAGGGAGGGGTGCTCTAACACCCCCAGAACGGGGCAACTTCCTTATCCTGCCTTTGGGAAGGGAGGAGGCCATGAGGAGAGAATAACAGGAAACCACCCCTGGCTCAGCAGCATCGGGGAAGTGGGGTCACACCCCCACACCCGCCATTTCCCAGCTCCTAGCTCCCCACCCGTCCTGATGACTCCAATCCTGTGGCCTCGGAGGCAGGACGGCGCACATGTGCATCTGACTTCAGCCCCAGCTCCCTGGGAACCTCCTGAGGCCCGGCCACCGCTCCTTCCAGAGAAGCAGTGGGACTGAGAAGGGGCAGCAGTTGGGTGGTGCTCACATGCTAGGCTCCCTAGTGTCAGGCTGGACAGGCTTCAGCAGAGACCCAGGAAGGCTTCCTGGAGGAGGGGCTGGGAGCAGCGCTGGCTGGCAGACTCCGGGGTGGTGGAAGGTGCTATCTGTTCCATCCATTGAGGCAGACACCAGCCTTGGCGGACGGAACAGACAGCATTGCCAGGTGGGGAGGAGCTGGAATGTTCACTTGACATTTTTTAGTCACTTTGCACTAAACAGCCCAGGTAGTGAAGCAGGCCATGGAGGTCCCAGGTGGCCCCAGGCTGCCTGCTGGCCCTTCCTGCAGCAGGGCCGGGGGGAAGCAGTTTTCCCTGCTGGCTGGGGTACAGGCTGATGTGAGGCTGCAGGAATGCGCCCCCATCCCGTGTTGTCCTCAGGGGCTGGCGGGAGGTGCTGGGTCACCTTTGGAATGCCCGGCGGCAGAGGAAGGCCTCCTCCGCGAAGGGCCAGTGGTCAGGGTCGCCACATACCAGGCCTGACTGGTGGGTCACAGCCAGGAAGCCAGCTGGGTGGGGATGGAGGGCCTGGGGGCTCTTGGCATGCTGCCTGTGCCCCTCACCACGCAGTTGGCCCCGCTGAAAAATCAGAGTTTGGACAGCACAGTCCCCAGAGGGGGCCAGCCCCACAAGTGGGAGCTGCACAAGCAAGGAGATAGCAGACCGAAACACAGGGCAAAATGTTGACAATTGGTGAAGGGTGGTACAGTTTATTACTTTCACAATTTCCGTAGGTTAAATATTTCAAATAGAACGTTGGAGAAATGCATTCACAGCTTTGTTGAGAGGTGGTATCTGGGCCCAGTCTTGGAGTGGGGCAAGTTGTGTGCTCTTGGGGAGGGGGCAGAGGTGGGAGGCCAGAGATGGGGCAGAGCTGACTCTGATGAGCCTGGAGGGGAGTGTGGGGCTGTGAGCTCTGTGAGGGAGAGTCCAGGTTATACATGGGGACCTCATGGACACAAGGGGTGTGCAGGCAAGCTGAGCCCAGTGCAGCTGGAGTGATGGGTCTTTAGGGAGACGTGGGGGTGAGGCTTGTGCACACACAGTTAGACTATCAAACATGCTGGAGGAGTGCCAAACAGACTAGGGGCTGGAATCTGGGAGTAATGCCTGGACTGCAGGCATGACTTGGAGCATTGGTTTGTGGACACTGAAATCAGGTGTCTGGAGAGCTGGTGGGTTGAGTGGAAGTGAGGAGGCTCCAAGGGGACACTCCTGACCCCACACTACAGGCCAGCATGGTTCTGCTCTGAAGCTCTCTGACCAGCAGACCTGGGTGGAAGTGACAGTGAGAAGGGAGCCCAGGCCAGCAGATGGGGGAGCAGGAAGCAGATGAACACAGCACAGGAGGGGCTGTGGCACTAGTGGCTGGTTTCAATCTGCCACCTTGCAGTTTCCTGGGTAGACCAGTTGTGGGTTTCACGAACAGTGAGTTATTTATAGGCTCTCAAAGTTTCCCTTGGGAGGGGAAGCAAACAACTAATGGGGGAGCAGGCGTTTAAAAACTGTGCTTGGTGTTAAGGGCTGAATTATGTACCCCAATATCCACTTGTGGAATCCCTATGCCCAGTGTGACAGAACTTAGAGATGGGCTTTAGGAAGTGATTAAGGTTAAATGAGGTGATAAGGGTGAGGCCCTGATCCCATAGGACTGGTATCCTTATGTGGAGCGACACCTGGAGTAAGAGAGGGCTGTGTGCACACTAAGAAGAGAAAGGCCCTGTCAGAAACCTGCCCGACAGTACCCTGATCCTGAATGTCCAGCCTCCCTTCAGGCTGTGAGGGAGATGGCCTGTGTTTAAGCCACCCAGCCTGAAGTGTTTATGTATCATGAGCTGACTGAGACACTTAGGAGACAACATGGAGATTTCCTGCAAAATTAAACACAGAATTGCTGTATGACCCAGCAATTCCACTTAGGGTATTTACCTGTGATACTGTGACTTACAGTGGAAGGTATACACTGAGTGGCCAGATTATCATGACCTCTGAATGCATAATAATCTGGCCACTCAGGGTATATTTGGTCTTGTATTATTCCTGGTACAGAGCTCCTAAAATCATGTGAATCTCTTGTAATGAGAACCATAAAGGAGTCTTTTCTTATATTAATGAAGTAACTTTTGGAAAGCCCTAAGGATGGGAGCTGGATACCAGGGAAGCCAACCAGGGTCAGTTCTGCCTCCTGACCTCCAGGGAAGAAAGAGGTGCTGGAGATTGAATCAATCACCAATGAGCGGCGATTCAGTCACTTTGTGCCAGTGTGAGGGAGTCTCCGTCAGCTTCCTCAGGGGATCTGGAGAGCTTCTGAGTTGTTGGAAGTGTGGAGAGGCAGGGAGAGTATTGGGCACAGAAAGCATGGAAGCCCCTCCCTCGCTCTTTCCCACACCCTGCCCTGCGCAGCTTCCATCTGGATGTTCTGAGCTATATTTACCAGAAGCTGGCAATATTAAGTAATGTTCCTCTGGATTCTGGGAGCCAATCTAGCAAATTAATGGAACGCAAGGACACGGCTGTGGGAACCTCAAGTTAGACAATGGACCTCCAGTGTGCGCACCTTTGGTGATCGGAAGTGCCCTAAGTGAGAGGAGTGTGAGAGTCAACAACACATAGGAGTGGATTTCCATGCACAATGCCAAGAGCAGACTCTTAAAGAGATATCTGCACACTCATGTCAATGCAGCACATTCACAATAGCCAAGGGGTGGAAGCAACCCAAATGTCCAGCATCGAGTTAGGTAAACAAAATGTCAGGGGATGTTATTCAGCCTTAAGAAGGAAATGCTGACACACTGTGGACAAGCCTGGAGGACATCGTTCACAGTGGCATCTGCAGTCACAAAAGGATAATATCACATTACTTCTCTCATATGAGTCCCCAGAGAAGTCAGGTTCACAGAGAGAGTGGAGTGGGGCGGGGGGATGCCGCCAGGGGGTGAGGAGAGGGGGACTCCAGTTTGATGGGTATGATGTTTCCATTTGGGAAGATGGGAAAGTGCTGGATGGCGGGGATGGCTGCAGGACACTGGGGATGCGCTTACTGCTCCTGAGCTGTGCACCTGGAGAGCGCTGAGGCGCAGTAAGCCAGCGGAAGCTGCTCAGAAAATCCTCCGCAGGCCGGGGCAGGCGCGCCGAGCCCGGAGCGGGATCCCACCCCGGGGGCCGGGCGGGGCGAGGGGCTGACGACCAGCCCGAGGCCCCGCCCATCCAGGTCCCCGCACTTGTTCCGCCCGCCGCCAGGGGCCGCTGTGGAACCCACCCGTGGCCGGGTCGCTCCTTCCCGCAGCCGCGCTCGCACCCAAGATGGCGGTCGCAGCGCTGTTCCGGGGCGCGGCTCCAGGGTGTGGCGGGCCTGCCTGGCTCTGGCGCCTGCGCGCGACCTCAGGGCACCGCCTGGCCTCTGGCTCGAGCGGCCACGGCAGCGACCCCGCTGACGGCGCGGCCTGGGCCTGCTTCCCGCTGGGCCAACGCGCCCTGGTGCGCGTGCGCGGGCCGGACTCGGCCCCTTTCCTCCTGGGGCTGCTGACCAATGACCTGCCGCTTCCGGTTCCTGCGGACGGTGCGGCCTCGCCCCCCGCGCGTGCGGGCTACGCCCACTTTCTCAACGTCCAGGGGCGCACGCTGTATGACGTCATTCTCTATGGGTGAGAGCGGATTGTGGGGAGAAGGGGAGCCAGAGGAGGCGCACCTGGGGGAAAGTGGGGAGTCAGAGGGAAGCGGACCACCCAAGCGAGGGGTGGGGAGCTGGGAGGAGGAGCATTTATGGAAGGGCACCGGAAGATGGGCGGTAGCCTGGGGGAGGGCTTCCGGCAAGGCTTCCATAGGTGGGGGCAGGGGCACCGAAGGGCGGGCCCTCGGGAGCTGTGGTGGTGGTGCTGTTGGTGGTGGTTCTGGTGGTTCTGGTTGCTGGTTACTGGTTACTGGTTGCTGGGCGGCCCTGCACCTGCCCTTCCCTCCGGTTCAGTCTTGCCCCGGTCGCCCTGTCTTCAATGCACGGAAAAGGGAGCCACGGCTGCAGGGAGTGGCTTCTGCGTGACCGGCTTGTGCCACGACTTTCCGAGTTCTGCGGTGCCCTCCGCACTTCCCTCCCAAATCCCCCCATATCCAGTGATACCCGTGTTTGGTGTTTTACATCAACCCGGCGACATTATCACGACCCGTTATACGGGACGGTCCTGGGACCGCCCACTGGCGCAGTTCCAGTGTGTGGCGCAGTTCCAGTGTGTGGTGCAGTTCCAGTGTGTGGGGAAGCAGGCTGGGCCCGGGAACCCCGTGTCCCCTCCGGTGTGGGCGCGGCTGCCTCTTTCTCGTTGGACTCGCAGAGGAGCTTGTTGAGAGGTGGACACTGCAGGTGAAATTGGACTCATCAGAGCTCTGCAAAAGTGGTCTTACCTGATGGTGTGACTGGAATAAAACTTCAGGTGCAAAGTTGCCACTGAGAATTGTGAAACCATAGCCTGTCTTCCTGAGCTGGCATTTCTGTTGAGAAGCTAAATGCCTTGTTTTGGAGCCATGAAAGCTTGTAGAGCAAGCATGTCAAACTCGCGGCCCACAACGAATATTTTTTAAAAAATATATATTTTATTGATTTTACACAGAGAGGAATTGAGAGGGATAGAGAGTTAGAAACGTCAATGAGAGAGAAACATCGACCAGCTGCCTCTTGCACACCCCCCACTGGGGATGTGCCCGCAACCAAGGTACATGTCCTTGACTGGAATCGAACCCGGGACCTTTCAGTCCACAGGCTGACACTCTATCCACTGAGCCAAACCAGTTTCGGCCCCAAACGAATATTTTTGAGGCCCAGCCAGTATAACAGTACGTAAGAGACATTTTAATAAAATTTTTTATAATATCCTTTGTACATTATTATTTTTTTATATTTTTATATATTTTATTGATTTTTTACAGAGAGGAAGAGAGAGAGTTAGAAACATCAATGAGAGAGAATCATTGATCAGCTGCCTCTTGCACACCCCCCACTGGTGATGTGCCTGCAACAAAGGTACATGCCCTTGACCAGGAATCAAACCTGGGACCCTTTAGTCTGCAGGCTGACGCTCTATCCACTGAGCCAAACCAGTTAGGGCCCTCCATGTCTTTTGATGGCTTATGATAGCTGATTTCTTTGTAGTGCCAAATAATACCGGTTGTAGCACAGTTTATTCATTTGTTCATCTACTAAAGGACATCTTGGTTGCTCCAAAGTTTTGGCAACCAAATATATATAAAAGGCTAATACAGTGGTGCCTCGCATAAAGAACACCTCGCACAGCGAACGCTGCACACAACGAACTTCATTTCATGATTCATACAACGAACTTCGTTTCACACAACGAAGTCGCCCGAGCTTCCACGACCGCTTTGCCTGAGCTTCCACGATCTCTGCCGATGTACAGTATTGCATCCTTCCGCGCAGGCACTGCAGGCATTCGTTAGTCACTGCACTTAACTTAAGCACGTATCGCGGCAATCGTTCTTCATTACGAATTAAATCACGCACGTATCATGGCAGTCGTCTTTTTAAGTTAAACTCAATATTTTTTTTATATCATGATGTATCTAAATAAAAATAATAACAAAATTTATCTTTTTTTATGTCATCTTAGCATATTTTATGCTACAGAACGAATTATTTTTTTTAACATGTATTGTTATGGGAAAACGCGTTTCACATAACGAACTTTTCGCATAACAAACTTGCTCCTGGAACGAATTAAGTTCATTGTGTGAGGCACCACTGTATGTAAAGGGTCCCCTTGGGAGTTCAATTGGGAGAACAGGAGTTCCGATCACTCACTATGATGTGCACTGACCACCTGGGAACAGCGTGGAACATGGCAGGTCACCAGCAGCAGCAGGCTGCGGTGGTGGGGTGCTGAGGGAGTGAGAAAAGGAGGAGGCAGGGAGGCGGGAACCTGATCCATCCTGATCGCCAGCCAGGCCTAGGCACCCTACCTGTGTATAAATTTCGTGCACTGGACCTCTAGTCATATATAATAAAAGCGTAGTATGCAAATTGTCCCCTCGACCAGGAGTTCATCTGGGAGTTTGACCAGGGGATGGATCCAACCTGGGGAAGGGAGGGAGGCCTAGCTGGCAGCCACTAGGGACCCTACCAGTGCACAAATTTCATGTACTGGGCCTCTAGTTATGAATAAAGCTGCTATAAACATCTCTGCAGGTTTTTGTGTTGGCATGTTAACTCCTTTGAGTTAATACCAAGGAGCACAATTGCTTGTAAGAGTATGTTTAGTTTTATAAGAAACCTTCCAAAGTGGATGCACCATTTTATATTCCACAAGCTCTTGTTGCCCTATATCCTCAACCGTGTTTGATGTTATCAGTGTTCTGGATGTTGACCATGCTAATAGGTGTGTATTTGTGACCATGTGTGGATACCCATGTGACCTTGAACAAGATGGAGCTACTCTATCACCACTAGGCTCCCCTTTTTGCCATCCCCTCAGCCCTATAGACCCTTCCCTGTTCTCTCTCCATCTCTGAGATTATGGCATTTTAGGAATGTTGTACAAATGATCACTGCCAATAATGTCCTTCATCTCTGTCCAGCTGGGACCAGTGGTCCATCCTGTCTCCTTGCTGAGAAGTATTCCATTGAGGGGACGAACCACAGTCTGTTTAACCTTTCTCTCACTGAAGGGCAGTTTGGTGTCATTTTTTACTATTGTATCTTATATAATAGAGAGGTAATATACAAATTGACTATCACTCCAACACATAAGATGGCTGCCCCCATGTGGGCACAAGATGGTCACCACAAGATGGTTGGCAGGGGAGGGCAGTTGTGGGCAATCAGGCCAGCAAGGGAGGGCAGTTGGGGGTGATCAGGCCTGCAGGGAGGGTAGTTAGGGGGATACTAGGCCTGCAGGGGAGGACAGTTAGGGGGGACCCAGGCCTGCAGGGAAGGGCAGTTAGGGGCAACCAAGCCTGCAGGGGAGGGCAGTTGGGGGTGACCAAGCCAGCAGGGGAGGGCAGTTAGGGGTGACCAGGCACGTAGGGGAGGACAGTTAGGGGCAATTGGGTTGGCAGGGGAGCAGTTAGGTGTCAATCAGGCTGGCAGGGGAGTGGTTAGGAGATGATCAGGCTGGCAGGCAAAAGTGGTTAGGGGCAATAAGGCAGACAGGCAGGCAAACAGTTGGAATCCAACAGTCCTGGATTGTGAGAATGATATCCAACTGCCGGTTTAGGCTTGATCCCGGTGGCCTAAACAGGCAGTCGGACATCCCTGGAGGGATCCCAGATTGGAGAGGGTGCAGGCTAGGCTGAGGTGCGCCGCCCCCCCCCCCCCCCCCCCCCCCCCCGTTTATGAATTTAGTGCATGGGGCCTCTAGTTATGGATAAAACTACTAACATTTGTGTACAGGTTCTCGTGTGAACACAAGTTTCCATTTCTCAGGTAAGGGCCCAGGAGTGCAGTGGTATCTGATGGTAGTGCTCAGGTGGTAGTTGATGTTTAGTTTTATAAGGACCTATAAACCCTTTTCTGGAGCTGCTGTACTTATTATTCCCACCAGCAACATTCTGTGGTCAGCTTCCCACAGCATCGCCAGCATGGGGTGGCCCTGTTTTATGTTAGCCCCCCTGACCACCTAGTGCTGAACCTGCTGGATTTAGTGTTTTTTGTTTGTTTAAGAGAGAGAGAGAGAGAGAGAGAGAGAGAGAGAGAGAGAGAGAGAGAGAGATTTGTTTCACTTATTCATTCATTGGTTGATTTTTATATGTGCCCTGGTCAGGGATCGAACCCACAACCTTGGTATACTCAGAGATGCTCTAATTAACTGATCCACCTGGCCAGGGGCTGTCCCTGCTGGTTTTGATTTTGTTTGTGACTGAGGAGTGATACTGAACTTCTTTTCCTGTTCTTATTTGTGTCAACTTCTCTGAACTCTTCTAGCTGATTCTTCTGGCTGCTCAGCTGACCTCATTTTTGACGTTCTGTGAGGACATGTGGAAAGTGAGGGGTCAGCCTGACTTGCTGTGGCAGGTCCTCCCCACCCTCCTCACCCTGTTACCCTGTCTGTAGTGGTCCTGTGGCAACTGGTTATGTGAGACAAGTGTGTGGACACCACAAGGTGTGTGCCGCTGAGATCGGGCAGCCAGGTGATAGGTTTTGGGGAGGGTCCGGCACCAGATGATGCCCCTCATTCTTTTCCCTGCTCCCATCTCAGCTGCCACCATTCTGGGACTTTGCTCAATCCACATCTCTAACCTGGACTCCAGCTGTGCCTGGATGGCTCCACCTAGCCCCGCTGTCCCCCAGTGCTGCACTAGCCTCTCCTCTGCTTATCTGTCTGAAGGAGCCCTGCTATCCATCTGGTCAGCGCGTCAGAAACCTGGGGGCATTTGTGTGGCTGTGGCTGCCTGGGGTGTGGGTTAGATGGTTCTCGGGTTTGCCTTGGGGAAGTGGGAGGTGGTGTGGTTGGGTGTGGCCTCGGCGCTCCAGAGGGCCCCCTCCCCACCCCAGCCCCAGGACCCTGGCTTACGGTGGCTTCTGGGGCTGGAGGAGGCAGATCTGTCCTTAGGGTGGGTCAGCTCCTTTCTGCCTCACCTTGCCTGTCAGCCACAATCTGCTGGCCCTTGGCATGTGCATGTCTGTGCCCGTGGCCTGGGTGGGAGGGGTGCGGAGGGGTCCTGCGGTGGCTGTGGGGTCTCCTGTGTGCACCGCACTGCACAGTGGGAACAGAGGATTGGGGAGCTGTGGCTGGGTTCTTTGTGCTGGTCCCCACGTTGTGACACCCTGTGAACCCTGCCCCATACTGTTATTGGTGGAAGTGGGGTTCTTTTTTAAATTTTTTAAAATTGATTTTAGAGAGGAAGGGAGAGGGAGAGAGAGAGAGAAACATCAATGAAAGAGAAACATCAATCGGTTGCCCCCTGCACACCCCCAGACATGGGACGGAGCCTATAACCCGGTCATGTGTCCTGACTGGGAATTGCACTGGTGACTTCGTGGTGCATGGATCAATGCTCAACCACTGAGCCTCACTAGCCAGACAGGAAGTGGGGTTCTTATGCCCCCAAAGGAAGATGAAATAGGAAGCTTTATTTCTGTACAATTACATCCCTGCGTTTCCAAAGTCCCATGTCCCTTCGTCCACTCATGGAAGTGTAGCTGGGGTTTCAGTAAAGCTAAAGCGAAGCAGTGTCCAGAGTTCCTTTCTGTGTGGGAGCTGGTCCAGTTCAGCATCAGGCTAGTTACAGCCCCTTAACCCATTGTGTGTGGGTCCCATGGCAGCAGGAGCAAAAGAGCCCCACAAGAGAGGGGATTGTATGTCCCAAACCTCTGTCCCTCCTCGCAGTGGCCACACCCATTCTGGCCGATGACTTCTCCCAGGTGTGATCGCAGGGAGAACCTTCCCTGTTACCAGCTCTACAGGGCATGCGTCTGTCCGCCCTGTGCCCAGTCCCTTCCCCCCTTCCCCAGGGTTTGCAGGGAGCATACCTATGATGTCTGGCCTCCCCGTCGCCCCTTTGCTGTTAGTAATTACAGGGTGTCAGCACCACAAGCAGTGCCCGCTCCTCCCACAGGCTCCCGGAGCACCCTGGCCCCGCTCCCGCCTTCCTCCTGGAGTGTGACAGCTCGGTGCTGGGCGCGCTGCAGAAGCACCTGGTGCTGCACAAGATCCGGCGGAAGGTCACGGTGGAGCCGTGCCCTGAGCTGCACGTGTGGGCCGTCCTGCCGGCCGCTCCTCAGGAGGTGGGTGGGGCCGCGCCACTGCCCGAGCACCAGGGCCCTGCCATCCTCGCCCGGGACCCCCGCACCACCCGCATGGGCTGGCGGCTTCTCACCCAGGACAAGAGCCCCGCCCCGGTGGCCAGGGGCAGGCTCAGGGACGTCTTGGACTACCACAGGCACCGGTACCAGCAAGGTGTGGGGGCACCGGGACCAGCGGAGACTGGCCGGGTGGAATGGGAGGGGCTGGAGTGCAGGGCCCAGTGAGACTGGGAGGCGCAGGGAGGAGCCAGTGGAGTGGGCATGGCAGGGGTCAGAGAGGAGGACTGAGGACCAGACAGCCCCTCGCCAGGGAACAGGGAGGTGGTGGCCGGCGGGCGGAGGATGAGGTGCTCTGCGGGAGGAGGGGCCGTGCTGGTCTCCCTTGGCTGAGCCCCAGCTCTGCAGGACACCTCAGCCTCACCTTGTTTCTCCCTTTCCACCCCACAGGTGTCCCTGAGGGGGTCCACGACCTGCCCCCAGGAGTGGCCCTGCCGCTGGAGTCCAACCTGGTCTTCATGAACGGAGTCAGCTTCACCAAAGGCTGCTATGTGGGCCAGGAGCTGACAGCCCGCACCCACCACACGGGGGTCATCCGAAAGCGCCTCTTCCCCGTGCAGCTCTCGGGCCCCCTCCCCGGGGGCGGCGTCCCCCCTGGCGCCACGGTGCTCACCGAATCTGGACAGGATGCCGGCAAGTACCGGGCGGGCCAGGGGGACGTGGGGCTGGCCCTGCTGCACTCGGAGAAAATCAAGGGCCCGCTCCACGTCAGAACCCCGGGGAACGGCCCGGTGGCCCTGACTGCATCCGTGCCGGACTGGTGGCCCACAGCCCCCAAGTAGCCGCCGCCCCCGCGCTCCCACAGAGGCCTCGGTCCCCGCACACCTGCGGCCGGCCCTGGAAGACATGCGTCCGTGCAAGGTCCCGAGTGTTGGTGGGACTCCCACGGCTGCGATGTCCGGCTCACCATGCGTCCACCTGAGCCCCACCTCTGCTGGCGGCTCTGTGCTGCGGGGAGCCGGAAGCAAGCCTTGCGCCTGCCCCCTCTTCCAGCATCCAGACAAGGTTCCAAACCATGTGCCTCTGGAGGCCTTTGTCCACCGGCCAAGGACAGGAGTGAGAGGCTGTGCCTGCGGGTCTTCCCCCGCTGCCAGCCTGCTTCAGGGCAGGCCTGGCCCCGAGGCGGTGCAGCCAGGGAGGGCAGGGGAGGTGGGGCATGTCTCAGGTCAGGAATCACATGTGGGGGGTGCGGTGGTCATGTCTGCGGGCGGAGGCACGGCTGCCCACAGGCACCCCAATCAGTTCTCCAAGTGCTCCTCCGCGCTCGACGCTGCCATGGGAGCCCCGGTGCCATTTCCAGGGCACTCCACTCCACAGCATCGGCTCTGGTGGCTGGGCAGCCCCTCCCCCCCCCCCAGCCTGTGTGCGGAGAGCGCTGCATGGCTCACCCCACTGTTGTGCCCAGGCCCCCTTTAGCCAGATGCCATCCTCCCACTGCAGTGTGACTGACGTTATGGGTGCCCCACTGTGCCCCAGAGTGAAGATTAAAGTTTGACTTATAAGCGGCTCATGTGGAATTCTGGTTTTATTTTAGTGGAAGGGGCTGGGACGTGGTTTTGTGCAGACTAGACATGTGGAGAAGGTCTCCCTCGGACAGCCAAGCACACCAGGTAAAATAGGTTAGCAGAGTTCCAGTCCCAGTTGGACTGACAAGAAGGTCTGAGGCCGGGGTTTGGGGGCTCGGAGCTCTGGTCTGAGGCCCAGGGCCAGGAGACAGCCAGGCCCACCCGGGAGGAGGGCCAGGTGGGGAAGGAGGCATTGTGGTGCCTGGCACAGTGTCAAACCCCTGCCGAGAACCCGCAGCCGAATGTAGGTTTGGAGTTGCCTCAGGGAGAGATGGGGAGCCTGTGAGGAGAAGGGGGCCCAGAGTGGGACTGGGCATTGCAGGTGAGGCAGAAGGGGTGAGGGAGATGGGGGAGGGCCCAGCCAGCCCCCAAGCACAAGGCTCACCCTGACGTAAGTCTCCTGGGGTGGAGGAATTAACCGTGTCAGCTTCTGGACAGGAAGGCATATAAAGGAAGGACTCTGGAGCCCTTGTGCCAACGGCCAGGGCAGTCGTTCTCGCAGCTCTGCCTCTGGCACCTTCTTTGCATCTGTTGTCTTTTACTGAAAATGGAGCCCGCTGGCTAGTCTTGACACCGATGCTGAGACCTTGGCTCAGGAGTCAGTTGCCCCTGTGTCTGTGTGACCCGATCCTACAGGCCAGCCTTGCAGGCCAGGCCGTCCTCTTGGGTGGGCGGGCATCCTTAGCCGGTTCCTGGGCTGAAGACGCAGGCTTCTCACTGGGCTGCGGTGCTGGTAGCACATCAGAGCCCCAGGCAGGAGTCTGAGTCCTGGGAACATGGGAAAGGAGACTAGCAAGCCCGGGTTTTCCAGGTAAACAAAATATTTTGTTCAGATTCCACATTGTAACTCAGTGCTCTTAGAAGGAGTCTGCCGCACGGTCAAACCACAGCAGCTTCCCCAGATACATGCAGAAGGTGTGGCCCATAGCGATTCTGGCGTGGCCTCCAAGGGCCAGTTGGGTCCAGTCCTCACATCTGCCTCAAAGTCATGAACCCTGCTCCATGAAAATCGGTGCAGGTACCCAGAAGGCTCTTAGCTAGTTTTCACATCTGCTTTAGCTTGTTTTATAAAAAGTGTAGCTCGGCTGGTGTCGCTTGGTTGGTTGAATTGCATCCCATGCACCAGAAGGTCGCCGGTTGGATTCCAGGTCAGGGCACATGCCCAGGTTGTGGGCTCGATCCCTAATAGGGGGTTGTGCAGGAGGCAGCCGATCAATGTTTCTCATTGATATTTCCATCTCTCCCTCTCCCTCCCTCTGAAATAAATTTTAAAAAACTAAAAAAATTTATGTGTACAAGTTCTGAAAAATGGTGATCATAATAATAATAAATAAATAAAAACACCAAAAAAACCCAAAATATTATAGTCCTGCAAGGTAGTGTTTTTAGGAGCCTGGAAGTGTAGGTGTGAAACTTACCATGGGAACCCTCATCCAACTTGAGCCTTCAGTAGGAAGGTTCTAAGGAATAAATAAATCTTTATTGCTAAAAAGTCTGAAGGAACCCAGAAACACTCAACCCCCAAAGAAACAAGGTCAACAGAAAACCCCACAGATTTTTAGATATCTATAACCAGACACACTATGAAAAATGTATATTGCTATACTTAAAGAAGTAAAATAAGGAATTGAATATTAGTAAGAGCAAAAGACTGAAAAAGAATCAAGGAAATTTCTAGAAATAAAATATTTTTGAAATCCATGGATGGAGTTTTTGAAGAATTGGGAAACTAAAACAATGACTCTCCAATGAAGAGCTGGTCCTAGAATGACCACAGACAGACAGAGGGAAATGAGAGTGGCGTGAAGGGCAGAGAGGGCGACAACTGATCCAAGGAGGTGGGCGTTACACAGGAGAGGAAAAGACAGGGGGCAGGGGTGGTGTTCACAGAAATAGTGGCTGAGGAACCAAGATGGTGGCATAGGGTAGACACCTAAAGGCAGCCTACCATAACAATTTTAAATTTACAACTGGAAAACAGAGCAAACATCGCCCTGAAATACCATACGGCTGGCTGAGTGGAAGCCTTACCATCTAGGAAGGGAAGAGAAAGGTCGCTGAGCCTCAGGAGCTGTGGAGGTGCGGAGATCTGTGCGGCGCAGAAAGGGCTGCTGCCGAGTTCGCTGCTGGCTCACTGCAGGCACCCAGAGAGGGCGGGCAGCTAACGCGTGGCTGGCTTTCTTGTTCGGGATAGAGAGTTAGAAACATCGATGAGAGAGAAACATCGATCAGCTCCCTCCTGCACACCTCCCACTGGGGATGTGCCCGCAAGCAAGGTACATGCCCTTGACAGGAATCGAACCTGGGACCCTTGAGTCCTTCAGGCTGATGCTCTATCCACTGAGCCAAACCAGTTTCGGCTGATCAGTTCATTTTAAATGGGTGTGTGGCGCACATTGCCCAGTGAGGCTGTTATGTCTTCACTTTAATAGTGATGGGCATTTAGGTTCTTTCCAAAGTTTCTCCATCAGAAGCAATCGTGAATTAAAAACCCTCTGTCCACCTGGGAGCTGGGTGTTCCTCTGGTTGCAGCCGTCAGACTATTTGCTTTTGTGCCTCCCAGAATTTCTAACCATTACACATTTTATCAAAACTAAGCTCCGGACTTCATGTAGATTTCACGTGTTTAGCCACCAATGTGCCCTGTTTGTTCCGGGATGTCATGCAGGCTGTCATAATGCCGGTCCCTCCATTGCCCTGGCCGCCTTCTGAACCCCAGCGGAGCCCTGTCCATGTGTAAACTTGAGCAAGTCATTGCAGCCACTCTGCACCTCAGGTCGAGCTGCTGTGAAAGGAGAAACCCTGGGTTGGGGGACCCAGTGAGACCTTGACCTGAAGCCCTGGGAAGCATTCCTACATCTTTGTTTTCCAACCTGGACACGCACTGGCTTCACCAGAGAGTCACACACCATAAACATCTTCCCTTCAAAATGTTACAAGGGAATTAAATACCCTTTTCCCAGAATATGCAACAGCATCTTTCCGAGGACTGTGCATGATGACAAGAGGGTCCCACTTGCTTTTGCGTCTGTGATGATGGGAGTGTTGGTCCAAGGGCCAGGATGGGTAGGGAAGGTAGTCATGGACCAGGACCCTCAAAGCTGGAGTCTCCCCAGACAGACACACCATTTAAAGCCTCAGGGGACCTGGTGGGTGATGGGAATCTACTCTCACTGCCAAGACCCGTGAGGTCAACATCACCTTTTCCATGCCTGCAGCTGGTACACAGATCACAGACGACACCACACTGGCCAGGTGCATGGGACCCATTACAGGAATGGGAACAGGAGAGCAGACATGCTGTGATGGCCAGAGATGCGCAGGGCCATGGGTTGCAGCTGGAGACCTGGGATTTGTCACAAGTGAAAGAGCTGGCAGAGCCAAAGGGCATAGTGGTCCACAGATGCTGAGTCTCCCATCCTGACACTGAAGACGCAGCCTATCCTGAGACAAGTAACCCAGAGACAAGAGAAAAAGAGGGTGAGCTGTGAGGACAAGGACAGGGAGGAGGACAGAGGAGGAGGGAGCTGTGAGGACACAGGGAGGACAGAGGAGGAGGGAGCTGTGAGGACACAGGGAGGACAGAGGAGGAGGGAGCTGTGAGGACACAGGACAGGGAGGACAGAGGAGGAGGGAGCTGTGAGGACACAGGGAGGACAGAGGAGGAGGGAGCTGTGAGGACACAGGGAGGACAGAGGAGGAGGGAGCTGTGAGGACACAGGGAGGACAGAGGAGGAGGGAGCTGTGAGGACACAGGGAGGACAGAGGAGGAGGGAGCTGTGAGGACACAGGACAGGGAGGAGGACAGAGGAGGAGGGAGCTGTGAGGACACAGGGAGGACAGAGGAGGAGGGAGCTGTGAGGACACAGGGAGGACAGAGGAGGAGGGAGCTGTGAGGACACAGGACAGGGAGGAGGACAGAGGAGGAGGGAGCTGTGAGGACACAGGGAGGACAGAGGAGGAGGGAGCTGTGAGGACACAGGGAGGAGAGAGGAGGAGGGAGCTGTGAGGACATAGGGAGGACAGAGGAGGAGGGAGCTGTGAGGACACAGGGAGGACAGAGGAGGAGGGAGCTGTGAGGACACAGGGAGGACAGAGGAGGAGGGAGCTGTGAGGACACAGGGAGGACAGAGGAGGAGGGTGTGGCCAGGGCCTCTTTGGACAGTGATATCTGAAGTGACGATTCCCCGAGTTTTCCCAAGTGGGGTTCAAGGTCTGGAGAAGGGGCTGATGTACGAATGAATACACTAGACAGGAGTTACACATTTAGAAGGCATGGGGGAGCCAGGCGGAGACCTTTCTCTCGCGGAGAGGCTCCCTGAAACCTCAGACTCATCAGCTTTTATTTACTTGAATACACATTTGTCCTTTAGGAATGCACACAGGCACGTCAAAGATAGAGTTTGATGAACAGTAGGAGGATTATCAGGTTAGGGGATTGCTTTCAGCCGTTTTGCTGTTTCTTTTCTATTAAATTAAATTAAATTAAATTAAATTAAATTAAATTAAATTAAAGCCATGCTTAATAGACTAACAATAAACAAATTAAAGAAAAAAACAGTCTTGGGTTTATTCTATAGCATCTGTGAAGAGATGGGGCTCAGTCCAAGAAACCACCCAAAACCGGGCAGGGCATGCCTTCTCTTAAGCCAGCCTTTTCCTCTTCACGGTACATAAATCCCAGACGCATCCCCAAATTTTGAGAAATGTCTCATCTGTCCAAATTTCAAAAGACAGACGGGAAATAAAAACATGGCGAAAATGAGACTTTTAATAACACTCTCGAGAGTGGGCGTCCGTTTTATAGGATCACCAAAAGGCTGGGGCCGTTTTAGTCACCTCCCTTTGTCTAGGGAATTTTCCCAGAACTTGTGTCATTGGCCATGTGTTCCACTCATATTCTCTCTCTCCCCATTCCCACATTCTGTTTGCTCTGGGGAAATTTGGTAATGGCCTGGCCAACTACTGTTTCTTTTCTATTAAATTAAATTAAAGGCATGCTTAATAGGCTAACAAATAAACAAATTAAACCAAACAACAAAGACAGATAAAACCACAATCAATAGACAAGCCCCTATAACACATAGGTAAGACTTAATGAATCAGAGTTCATGAATTTTTTCAGATGTTTTACGTTTGCCTGGGACTTACAGCCAGAATGCAGCCTAGATGTTAGTCCGTTGTTCACAGGTCTTACTCTGTTCTGCCCTTCGCAGCATTGATTGGCATCTGAAGTTGTTTTAGCTAAAATCTGCATGTCCCAAGGCATCATATGGTAATTTTCAGACAAAGCATGAAAGAGTCCTTCTGTAAAAGGACTGTTAGCCCCATTTTCTCTGGCTGTTGAGCCTTTCCTCACTAGAGGCAGAGGATCCCGGCCTTAGGTACCTCTGACCCTGGGTTAGGCGATAGGTGACATCTCAGTGTAGAGGATCCAGGGAAGGGTCGGGAGAGTCGGATCCCTGCAGCCTTCCCAGCAGGAAAGATGCCATGGGCGAGGTGGCAAAGCGCCTCTGGAGACTGTAGGACTCACCTCCTGGTCTCGTCAACAGACGTGCTGTGAGGATACACACAGAAGAAGAATCCGTAGACAGCAGGTGGGGTGGGCGTGCATTCAGGACACAGCAAGGGTTTCACTCCACTGCACTCAGCTTTTTCTTTTTTAAAATCCTCACCGGAGGAGTGAGGGTATTTTTTCCATTGATCTTTAGAGCGTGGAAGGGAGGGGGTTAGGGAGAGAGAAACGTGGATTGATTGCTGCCCATATGCACCCTGACTCAGGGTTGAACCTATAACCTGGGTAGGTGCCCTGACCGGGAATGGATTGGGACTTTTGTTGCATGAGACGCTCAACCACCTGAGCACACCTCACTGCACTCAGCTTTTAGTTCTCTGGAAAAAGGGTAAAGAGCAGGTGTGTGCACCTCCTCTGGGCCTCACTGCTCCCACGGTCACGTCCCAGGAGGTATACGATGGGAGAGTGCACGCATGGGCGCCAGCTGTGGGTCCCCAGGGCCGCATGGTGGGGCTGGGCCTCCTCGGGTTTTCCTTCCTCACGGGGTGCTGCGGACCGAATGTTTCCACGGTGAAAGCTCTGCTCCACAGTGTGATGAGGAAGGTGAGGAGGCCAGATGAGGTCCTGAGGGTGGGCTCCCAGGAGGGATTAGTGTCCTAAGAAGAGGAAGAGCCAGAGCGCTCTCTCCCCACATGAGGACACAGTGAGAAGGCATTGTCTATGTCCCAGGAAGGGGCCCTCAGCAGAACTGATCTGCCAGGGCCTCCATTCCGGACTTGCAGCCTCAGGAACTGTGAACAACAAATGCTGTGTAAGCCCCCAGCCTGTGGTGTTTGTCACGGTGACTGGAGATGGCCAAGCCCTTGGAGCCATTCCCCCGGGGACCAAGGAGAGGCCTCGGGTCAGGCGGGGTGCAGCGGGCCTGCCCTGGGCGTGGGCAGGCAGGATGGGGACAGGGGTAGTTGATGTGGGTGGTCTTAGGAGAGCTCCCCGCTCCCCATCTCTGTGGCTCAGGGACAAATGTAGTCAGGGTGCCAGGCTGCCCTGGACTCAGAGGGGGCCACCTGGTGGGAATCCTGGGGCCTCTCCTCGGAAGGGGCCAGCCCCGGCCCCCAGGGGCCCAGGTGAGAGACTCATCCGTGTGCAGAGCCAGGGCAGCACAGAGACAGCCACTGAGCCCTGCCTGACCCAGGGCCCTTCTGCAGGGGTGTCCATGGGCTGACCTCCACCATGGGTGGTATTGATCTGCACCAGATCCAGCACTAGGGTGTGTGTCCTAGCTCAGCACCCAGCCCGGCTCCTGCCATCCTCACGCCCCCTCTGTGCCGTCTGCTCCGTCCTGAGCACAGACCAGTCACCCAATGTGGCCAGGGTCAGCTCAGCCAGTTGTTCCCCCTGGATGGTCCCAGGTCCCCCGGGCATGATCCTGGGTCTCCTTGGAGGTGGTCCCTGTGCTCCTGGGCTTCTTCCCAGCCTGCTCTCCAAGATGCTGGTCTGACCAAGGGTCCCAACCAGCTGGGGCCCTGCCCCATCATCATCATCATCATCATCATCATCATCGCTGAAAGACAGGGTCTCCTCCTTCCCCCAGCTACCCTGAGCCTCTGCACTTTGCCTACCTAGGGCCTGGGGTGAAACTCAATAGGGGCAGTGACAGCCAGGCTATTTTGAAGCTGGGCTGGGCTGCCTGGCCAGTGGTGGGGGCAGGGTGGGGGCGGGCCCAGCCTTCTCCAACTGACAGCGTCTGCCTGTCCTCTGTCCCTGTCCAGTCTGAGGACCGGCCAGAGTGCAGGCTGCCGGGAAGGAGTCCTGCCAGTCCTGGGCCCTTAGAGGAAGGTGAGACCTGGTGGCTCTTGCTCCACCGTCTGAGCCCCTGGCCTGGGCGCTGTCCTGAGTCCCCCTGTTGAGACAGGTGAGAAGGCAGAGGGGGCAGGGGTAGGGGGTACCCCATCCGGCCCCCCCCCCCCCCCTCAGGGTGGTTTGGCTGAAGGTCATGGTTCTGGGAGACTGAGGAGAGTTCTGGCTGGGCCGTGCTGCTCCCTGGCTGGGGGCCTGGATTCCAGCCCCCACCCCTTCGGCGACCGGAGCTGGGCCCTCGTGCAGGAAGGGAGCAGCCAAGCTTCGAGACTGGGGCCTTGTGGCCCATTCTGATCCAGGGCCTGGGGTCTGGCTAGCCCTGCCCCCAGCCTGGCTGAGATGGATGCCTGCTGACAGCTGGGGCTATTTTGGGCCTGTTGGCTCAGTAGTGGGGACAGCCAGAGGCGTAGCGACACCTGACTCCAGGAAAGAATTTCCCCGTGGTGTTTGGAAAATAGGACCCTGGGTCTGGGGGCCGAAGATGCAGAATCTGCCCTTGAGGTCTTTTCTGGAGGATGTGGGGGCAGCAGAGCGGGGAGTGTCAGGTCCTCGGGCTCATTTGGATAACGGTCCAGGGTCCCCTGAACCCAAATGCGAGAAGCAAGTGGCGGGCTCGGGCGAGGAGGGTGGGGAACAATCCCAGGTGGGGGCGGTCTCAGCCCTGGGCCACGGAGGGATCCCCAGGAAGCCACCTCCCAAACAGGCATCTGGGGAGGAGGGGCCTCCTGTGAGGCTGGGGCTCCCGTTCTGGCTGGGTCCCCCTCCTGAGGTCTGTTTGTGCCAACGTGGCAAGGGGAGGAGGCGGCCCCTGCAGGTGTCCCTGTCTCAGAGGTTGCCTTGTACGGTCCCGTCCCCTGGCCTCCCGAACCGGAGCGGCTCGGAGTCCTCGGGCCCAGCTGACGGGCAGGGATGCCTGCCTGGCGGGGCTGCCTCGGGGCTCTGACGCTGTCATGTCCCGGTGAGCCTCCTCAGATCCCATGGGGTCTGCTGCATGAGAGTTAGGGTGAGGGGGTGCAGGCTCTAGACAGGGAGCAGGATATCAGTGAGTCCCCAGTGGCTGTACAGGGTCTCAGGATCTCTGCCCACCCCTGCCAGGCCGGGGGGCAGCCTGCACGTCTGCTGCGGCAGCTCCCCCTACAGAGATGGGCGCTCCCTCCCTGTCCTCCCCGCCCCAGCGGCCCAGGCTGTGGAGTTGCCCCCACCCCCACATGCTCGCTCATGAGCTGGGAGCAGCTTCTCTGGCACCTGCTCTGGGTGTGTATGCGTGTGGGGGTGGGGGGGGTGGGGGGAGGCTCCGTGTCCTGCCCTGGGGAACCCACACAATGACTATCTGATTTGGGGTGGCCACTAGGGATAGCTCAGAGCTCAGGTCCCAGGAGTCCTGGTGTCAAAGTAACCCCTCCAAAGAGGGATGCCAAAGCTCGGGGGGCATCCATGGAGGGGGGCATTGGTGGCTGCCCTCCCGGGTCTTCTCAGGCCCTCCCTGTCCGGCCTTGGGGGGAAGCTGGTCGGGTGGGGGACAGAGGTGCTGACTGCACAGTGAGTCAGCAGGCCGCTCTGGGCTCAGCCTCCGTGAGGGGGATTAAGGGGATTAAGTGCTGAGTCACAGGACCAGCAGCAGAGGACCCAGAAACACCCCCCTATGCTGTGGTGGTGGGCAGCCCAGGCTGGAGGCTGGAGGTCCGGCTCCGAGGGCAGAGGGAGTTAACGGGCTTGGTGCCAGCCCGGGGCCCGGGGAGGCCCACTGTGCGCCCTTTTCTCACAGAAGCCCCCTCACCCACTTGTTCTGGGGCCCGTGGGGGCTCCCCAGGTGGGTAGAAGCCAGAGTCACCTAAGACATTTAGCGCCCCCGGTGCCAGCAGGGTGCCCGGAGAGTGAAGCCCTGGAATGAAAGGGCTGGATGCAGCCCCCGAGTCGGGCTCAGCTGGCCAGCTGGCCTAGAGGTCCCTGGCTCTTCCTGGGGGATCCGCCGCCGCCCTCTGCCACTGCCCAGGCACGCTGCTGACGGGCTGTGCTGCCCAGGCAGTCTTCCTCCAGAGGGAGGAGCTAGGCGCCCACGGGGAGGGGCCAGGCCGCCTGCTGGGTGAGGGCGCTGTCTTGTCAGGAGGAACTTGCTCGGCTACAGAGTTTTCATTTCTTCTCTGCTCACAGATGGGCACAAGCCCCCAGGGATTTAGGGATGGGGGACCCCAGGAGAGGTGGCCCAGAGGTGGGACAGATCTGGGCACAGGGCTCCATGCACACAGCCCCAGCTGGGGCCCAAAGGCTGGGGGAAGCCACTTGGAGGAAGAACCTGAATAAGGGGAGGTTAAGGGAACCCTGGGTTGAGGGCTGGAGGAAAGCCTGTGCCCTTGGGAGCAAAGCAGCGCCCCCTCTTTGCGTGGAGGAGAGGTAGGCAGAGTGCAGTTTTTGGCCCCAGGAGGCAGATGTCTGTGGGAGGGGACAGGACACCTGAGGCAGTGGGAGTGGCTCAGGGGGCAAACAGCAGGTCTGCTTAGCAGGTGCTGTGCGGTCGGTGGAGGGAGAGGCCGGCGCTAAAGCCTGATGCCTCTTGGCAGGGAGGGGGCAGCCTGGTGTTTGGGGTGGTTGCTCAGCTGGACCTGAAGTTGGGCATCGGGATGGGAGCTGGGGGAAGAGGCTGGAGATGCTCTCCCATGAGGAGAACCTGTTTTGAGGGTGGAGCCAGACCCCAAATGCTCAGAGAGAGGCAAATCTGCACTTGCGAACCACCGTGCCTTCAGGGGATGTTGCCTGGGGTGGGGGTGGGGCACGGGGCCTGCGGGGGGAGGAGGTGGGGGGAGGCATGTCCAGGTGTCTAGCCGGGTTCCCAGCTCTCCGGGTGGCACCGAAGGGCGAAGCAGCCCAGTGGGACCAGGTGGCAGGCTCTGAGTGTGCCGGGGGCTTGTCTTCATTGTGACTTTTCACCCCCACCTCCCAGGTCCCCCCGCCCCCGCCTCCCACCATGGCTCATTCCTCGTTCAGCGGCGCGCCCCGGTTCCTGACCCGGCCCAAGGCCTTCGTGGTGTCGGTGGGTAAGGACGCCACGCTGAGCTGCCAGATCGTGGGCAACCCCACGCCGCAGGTGAGCTGGGAGAAGGACCGGCGGCCGGTGGAGGCCGGCGCCCGCTTCCGCCTGGCCCAGGACGAGGACCAGTACCGCCTCACCATCCTGGACCTGGCGCTGGGCGACAGCGGCCAGTACGTGTGCCGCGCGCGCAACGCCGTGGGCGAGGCCTTCGCCGCCGTGGGGCTGCAGGTGGACGCCGAGGCCGCGATCGCCGAGCAGGCGCCCCACTTCCTGCTGCGCCCCACGTCCATCCGCGTGCGCGAGGGCGCCGAGGCCACCTTCCGCTGCCGCGTGCGCGGCTCGCCGCCGCTGGCCGTGAGCTGGGACAAGGACGGCCGCCGCCTGGGCCCGCCCGACGCCCCGCGCGTGAGCGTGGAGGCCAGCGGCGAGGCGAGCGCGCTGCGCATCCGGGCCGCGCGCCCCCGCGACGGCGGCACCTACACCGTGCGCGCCGAGAACCCGCTGGGCGCGGCCAGCGCCGCCGCCGCGTTGACGGTGGACGCGGACACCGACGCCGCGGGCCCGCCCGGCGCCTCCACCGCCGCCCTCCTGGCGCACCTGCAGCGGCGGCGCGAGGCCATGCGGGCCGAGGGCGCGCCCGCCTCGCCGCCCGGCGCCGGCACCCGCACCTGCACCGTCACCGAGGGCAAGCACGCGCGCCTCAGCTGCTACGTGACCGGCGAGCCCAAGCCCGAGACCGTGTGGAAGAAGGACGGGCAGCCGGTGGCCGAAGGCCGGCGGCACCTGGTGTACGAGGACGCGCAGGAGAACTTCGTGCTCAAGATCCTCTTCTGCAAGCAGGCGGACCGCGGCTTGTACACCTGCACGGCGTCCAACCTCGTGGGCCAGACCTACAGCTCCGTGCTGGTGGTGGTGCGAGGTGAGCTGGGCCCGCCCCGCGCACCTGCCAGAGCCACTGCCGGGAACGCACGCATGCTAGGCTCCTCCATGCCAGTCCCGTAGTGGAACCCGAGTTGGAAGTCCTGGCCCGCAAAATGCCTGTCCCCTCAGCCCGTCCCCTGCCTTTGTGAGCCACAAGAATAAAGAAGGAAGCGCTTTGTCACCAGCACCCCTCCCCCTGGGAATGCCTGGCAGCTGAGCCTGCCCTGTGCAGACTGTACCTGGATGCTCAGGGGGGTGTCTCCCTGACAGAGGGCAGGAGGGCAGGGACAGGGACAAACGCTGTGCTTTGGAGGGCTTGGCCCAGTGGCTGCATACAGCCTAGGTGGCTCTGGGGCAGTCTGCAGGCTCTGGTCCAGGCCCGGGCAGGTGTGGGCAGCACCGCCAGGTTCTGTTGGGAGGTCACTTTATTCTGGAGTGCGGGTCCCGCTGCCACCCTATTACACGTCTCAACCGCGCCAGGGTTGTGAACAGGGTGCATGGCTCTTCCCGAGCAGGCCCCAGTGTCCTCATTCTCTGGAGTAAATGCTCCTCCACCGCGGGGGTCCCTGAGGAAGCGACAGGGGGAGATGCGGGCAGCGCTATGCGGACCTCGGCCAGGGGGGCTTGGCCCTGCCGTCTGGCCTAGGGCTCTGGCAGGACCCGTTCCAGGCGCTGAAGACTGTAGCTTCACCTGCCTTGCTTCTTTCTCCTTCCAGACTGCTTCTATTTGGGGGGGAAGGGCTCTTTTCTTTAATTTCTGTCTCCCCTCCCTGCCCTTCTCGCCTTCCCTCTTCAGCTCTCCCACTCACCCCTGCCCTGCAGCCCTCCAACCCCTGCCCGGACTTCCTGCCCCACCTCAGCACCTACTTGCCCTTAGCTTGCCCTGCCCTGTGCCACCCACCACACTCCAGGGGCCCCAGCCGAGTACCCCCTTTCTTTCTTTGCCCAGCATCCCTGCCTGCTCACCACTCCTCTTCCCTCAGAGCCCACAGTGCCCTTCAGGACGAGGCTGCAGGACCTGGAGGTGCAGGAGAAGGCGTCGGCCACGTTTCAGTGCGAGGTGCCGCTGCCCACCACGGAGGCCGTGTGGTACAAGGAAGAGACGCGGCTGTGGGCCAGCGACAAGTACGCCATCGAGGAGGCGGGCACGGAGCGCCGGCTCACCGTCCACAACGCTTCCACGGACGATGACGCGGTGTACATCTGCGAGATGGCCGAGGGCAGCCGCACGGTGGCCGAGCTGGCCGTCCAAGGTGGGCGGGCACCACGATGGGTGGGTCCCCGAGACTGGAGAGGGCGGGCTGTCCGGTCTGGCTAACCTGTGGCTCTGGCCATCCTAGGCAACCTCACCCGAAAGCTCCCGAGGAAGACGGTGGTGCGAGTGGGGGACACTGCCCTGTTCTGCGTGGAGCTGGCCAGGCCGGAGGGCCCGGTCCACTGGCTCCGGAACCACGAGGAGGTGGTGGCCGGGGGCCGAGTAGCCATCACCACTGAGGGCACATGCCACACGCTGACCATCTCCCAGTGCAGCCTGGAGGATGTGGGCGAGGTGGCCTTTGTGGCCGGGGACTGCCGGACGTCCACCCAGTTCCTGGTGTCAGGTAAGGGCCTGCGTGCCTCTGCGATGGCAGAGGTGCCGCTGTCACCCGGCGCTGGCCCACACGTGCTCAGTAGCTGCAGGAAGGGGGTGGGGCACATTGTGTTCAGGCCGTAGCTCTGGTTCCCTCAGACCCACAGCTGTTTGCAGCCATCTCCCACTCTGGGCTTCCCCAGGCATTGACAAAATGGGAGACTTGATAGCCCCTCATCCTACTAACCAAATTAGAGGTGCAGATTGTTCTAGAAGCACAGTGTGTGTGTGTGTGTGTGTGTGTGTCCGGTGGTATCTTCTCTCTGTGGCCTTTGGTATTTACATTGTAGATTGGGCAGTGGTTCCCTCCCACTCCAGCCCTCCCCCACAGGGCTAACTCTTGCCGGGGCCAGGGGGTGCCCTCCACAGGGCCCCAGCGCCTCAGGAGGATCACTGTGCCCTGCTTTAGCCACTTCCCAGCCAAGACCCAATGCACTGAACTGGAAGGTGTCTGTCCCCAAACCACATGGCCAGCTTGTGGTGGCCCTGGGCCCCACGTGGCTCTGAAGCCAGGGTGCCCTTTCTGCTGCGCCCAGAGAAATGGCCACAGGTGAGATCAGGGATGATGGGCCTACAGCTTCCCCTCAGGCTGGCCTTCCGCCTTGGCTGTGGCCATCTCAGACCATCAGAGCAGTGCCCCCTAGGAGGGCTGGGGATTCTGTGCCCCCCTCTGGCAGGGTGATCCTGGACCAGGGCCAGGGAGGGGCTCCCAGCTGGTGATAAGGACGTGTGCTCTGCCCAGCCCCCAGGAAGCCACCACCGCACACCCCCGAGGCCCCTGTGGTGAAGGCCAAGACAGAGAGTTCCGTGACTCTCAGCTGGTCCCCACCGCCCGCCGGGGATCGCCCTGTGCCCATCGATGGCTACGTGGTGGAGAAGAAGCGATTGGGCACCTACACCTGGAGCCGGTGCCATGCGGCCGAGTGGGTGGCCACCCCTGAGCTGACGGTGGACAGTGTGGCTGAGGAGGGGGACTTCCAGTTCCGGGTGTCAGCTGTAAACGGCTTCGGCCAGAGCTGCTACCTCGAGTTCCCGGGGACGGTCCACCTGGGTAAGTGTGGAAGGTTCTGTTCCCATTGGCTCCCAGACAGTGGCCTGCAGGGTGCCTGCTGCTGAGGCACCCAGACCTCGAGCACAGCCCAGCCTTGGCGAGGCCACAGTGGGTCTTTATTCACATGGAGCCTCTTTATTCACGGCAGCGGGTGGGGGTCCTGATGCTGGCGCCTCCTCTGTGGGAAGGGGAAGGGACTCTGGGACAGGACTCGAGGCCCCTCGGAACCTCTGTGTCCCCCAGCCCCAGGGGACCAGGCGGCACAGCTGTACCCCCACCTCTGGTGTGTAGGATCTGGAAGGGATCTTGGTTGGCTCTAACTTGTCCCTACTCAGTCCTGAACCCTGCGATCTCTCATGGTTGGCGTGGGCCTGTCTGACGGGCTTCCTGGAGGAGGGGGCACATGGGCCCAGGCTCCGGGAGGGAAAAGGAAGGGAGGCCAGGCGCCCTGCTCCTTCCTGAAGCCCCTACCCTGCAGCACCCCAGCTGGAGGTGAAGACGCCTCTGAAGGCAGTGGAGACGGTGGAGGGCAGTGAGGTGACCTTCTCTGTGGACCTCACTTCGGTTTCTGCGGGAGAATGGTTCCTGGATGGGAAGGCTCTGAAGGCCAGCAACACATATGTGATCCGCTGCGAGGGCACGCGGCACGTCCTCACCATCCGCTCGGTACCCGCCAGCCTGCATGGCGCTGAGCTCAAGTTCGTGGCCAATGGCATCGAGAACAGCATCCGCATGGAGGTCCGAGGTAGGTGGACCTCAGCCCATGACCCCCAGGGGCCTCTCCAAGTTCTATTTCCTCTAAGGGTGGGGGCAGGAGTGGGACCTGTGACCCTGGGCCCAGAGCTCCTGGGGCGTGCTGGTGGGTTGCTGGGTTTGTGGCCTGGGCAAGCAGGACCAGATTTTTTTTTTTTTTTTTTTGGGGGGGGGTATGTGAAGCAGCTTGCCCTGCCTGGGGGGTGTCCCCTGCCACAGGGTATGAGCGGACGAGGGGCTGGACTCCTGATGACACCGAGGCTCATGTCTCCATCTGTCTGCCCCCCTTTTCCTCCTCCTCCTCCACTCTCTGTCACCTCCACCCGCTCTCTCTCCACCTGTGGGGGCCCCCAGGGCTGACCACCAAGCGTCCAACGGAAGTTCGGGAGGTGCTGGCCCGGCTACACGAGGAGGCACAGCTCCTGGCGGAGCTGTCAGACCAGGCCACGGCGGTAACGTGGCTCAAGGACGGCCGAGCGCTGCCCCCGGGCCCCAAGTACAAGGTGCAGGCTTCGGCAGGACGGCGGGCACTGCTGGTGCGGGACGTGGCGCGGGACGACGCTGGCCTGTATGAGTGTGTCAGCCGTGGGGTCCGCATCGCCTATCACCTGTCAGTTCAAGGTGAGAGTCTCCACATGTCCACATGCTTCTGGCCACTGCTGCAGCTACCGCCTTCTGTACCCAACTCTGGGCAGGCTCTAGGGGACCCAGGGCAATGGGAGCTGTTGTTCTCTGTGGCCGGGTAAGTTAGGGGGCATTTTCAGGTGACTGTGGCTCAGGTTACCTCTGTTACGGGTGGGGAAGGGGAAAGCTCAGGCGACTCCATGGGGACAGTGGGGGTGTGGGAGGGTGCTCACTCTGCCCCATGGAGAGAGTGGGGGCCAGGGCTTTGTTCAGTAGAGGGAGGGAACCCCTGGGGAAGTCCTAACAGTCCATGGCAGTGGTGGCTTGGAAGTCAGCAGCAGGCCCTGTGTGAAGGGACCCCGGGCTGGGCTGAGCCAGGGCTCCACCTGGTCCCAAAGCCCTGAGGCCCTGCATTTGCTGGTGTGTGTGTGTGTGTGTGCTCACAGGCCTGCCCCCTCCCCCAGCTGCCCTCGCAGGACTCACGCCCTTTCTGCACAAGGACTCGGCGGGCGGCTGCGTGGACGCGGTGGCCGGGGGTCCGGCCCGCTTTGAGTGCGAGACCGCGGAGGCCCACGTGCCCGTGCGCTGGTTCAAGGACGGCTTGGAGCTGGGCCGCTCCTGCTCCCACTTCTCGCAGGAGGATGTGGGCACGCGGCATCGACTGGTGGCCAGCTCAGTCACCAGGCAAGACGAGGGCACCTATTCGTGCCGTGTGGGCGAGCACTCAGTGGATTTCCAGCTGCGTGTCTCTGGTGAGCCGGCGACTCAAGGGCTTGGTCAGTGGGGAGGAGGTCTGGGACTTGCGAGGTAGAGCTGCCAGGCTCTTCATTGATCATGTGAATGCTTGGGGTGGGACAGCTGCTTGGGTTTGGGAAAAGAAATTACCCTCCAAAACGAGCACTGAGATGGATGAACGGTGCTAAATAAGAAGGAACTGTGAAGTCGTTGTCTTCCTTTTAAAGATCAGAGGAGGCTGAGCGGACCCAAAAGGTGCTGGCAGCATCCTCAGCAGGAGAGAGTTGGACCTCTGTGACTGTGAGGTCCCGGCTCCTTCTAGAAGCCACTAGGGCCTCTTGGTGGGTTCTCTGAGTCCTGCAGCACCGCCTTGCCCAAAGGAGAGGCTCTGCCAGCCCCCCTGCCGCCCTCTTACTGAGGCAGCAGTCAGGCCCCCTGTGCTGGGAGGACTGTGCTGCAATACCCGACCACAGAGGATCTCGGGGGACCGGTGGTTTCCGTGTTCCAGCCTCATGTGGCTTCAGGGGTCAACCGCTGTGGGGCCTCTGACTGTGCATCCCTCCCTGTTCTCAGAGCCCACAGCGGTGTTTGCCAAGGAGCAGTCTGCACACAGCGAGGTGAAGGCCATGGCCGGGGCCAGAGCCACGCTGAGCTGCGAGGTGGCCCAGGCCCAGACGGAGGTGACGTGGTACAAGGATGGCAAGAAGCTGAGTGGGAGCTCAAAAGTGCATGTGGAGGCCACGGGCTGCACCCGGCGGCTGGTGCTGCAGCAGGCGGCCAAGGGGGACAGCGGGGAGTACAGCTGCGAGGCCGGGGGCCAGAAGGTCACCTTCCATCTGGATGTCCCAGGTCAGTTCTTTGGTGGCACTAACTGAGCTATGTGTATAGGTAATGACTACACCAGGGTACATTCTGACGCCCTTTCCTTCTATCCTCCATCTCCCATATCATCCCAGTGGTGGGGCCAGCCCAGGCTGGGTGGGCAGAGTGTGAGCAGAAGGGAGAAGTGATCCTGTGCACGCGGAGTGGTGCTCAGGTTTTGCTCAGTCATGGTTCCCAGCACCTGCCAGAGCCTTCTGGGTGCTCCTCACCAGCCATCTCAGACTCTACTTTTCACATGGAGTCTGAGGTATACCAGACGTCTCTTACCTGTGTCATGTGAATTTCCTACTCCCCATGTCCTGGTAGCTCTCAGATGCCCACACCCATCCACATGGGCAGATACACGTTTGAATTTCCTTACAATAGAATATGGGGAAGTTTCTGCCACCCAGTCTTACTCGATCCATCCCAAGACTAAACCATGTGTTAGCCAATTGTAGCTTTTTAGGGCACTCCCTTGTGTGTGGATATAGAAGTTATTGGATCCTCACTTGGAGCAAAATCTAGATCCGTTTTTTCTTGCAAGGTCTGTGCAAAAAGTAAACAGAGACCAGAGCATTGTTAGGTGTGTGCCAGGGACCTGTACCTGTGAGGTCTGGAATTCTCTTCCTAAAGTACATCTTGGTTTTCTTTTGTATCCTGTGTCAGAATCACCTGAGTCTGATGTATAGATTTAGACATGGAGAGGAATAAGGAGCTTCTCCCACTCTGCATGGCTTGTTGAAGACAAGAAACTCTAGCGATAGCCCTTGTCTGTTTTTTCAGTATTTATGCCATAGTGTTTCCTAATGACACATGTGTATTCGTCCCTGTCTGCTTTGTTCACAGAGAGGTCTGTGAACTAACTGTGTTTTCATTTTGTTAGGAGAGTTTTAATCTCAAATCTACTTCCCAGTGCCTCAACATAACAGTTTGGTGTTATATTTGTGTACCATAACTTGTGGTTGTGTATAGATACAGAAATAAAATCCACCAAACATTTTTAATTGTTACTTTAAGAGAATATGACAAATGATTTTGTAGGAGTAAACATGAAAATGTTTGAGAAATTGACCAATTTTCTAGAAAACTATATGAAAAGTGCCATAAGATTTTGACAGCTAAAATAGTCCTGCAATCCTTTTCAATAAATGGAACCACAATAAAAAAAAAGTTTATATAGGTCAAGATGGCTCCAATGGAAAATATATGAACTATTCTATAAGGACATTATTGAGTGTTCATGGAGATCCTTGTAGAGCTAGAGAAGGACATAGAGTCCCTGGCTTATTACGTGACATCTATCACCAACATCTGATTGATAGGGAGAGTTCAAATAATGGGCCACTCCCTTTTGGAGACCCAAGGCCAAAATCTGAAGCTAAGTAGTATCAAATGAATGGGCAATGTATTAAGAGGACAGTGCAGTATAAAGAAAGTCACGGCCCAGCTTGTGAGGTCAGCAAATTAACCTCACTCAAGTCATGAGCAGACTGAAATTAAAATATGAAGCAATTGCCTCATCAGTGCAGAGCTGAATTTTGATAACATTGAATATTAGAAATATAGAAGAAATATTTATTAATATCTATTTATGCCATAGATTCTTAACCAATTATAAAGATAATAGTTCATACTTCTGATAAGTGATCCTGAAGGACAACTAGGTAACCACACTAAGTGACACTTGAAGGCTTTGGCTGTGAGAGCAGGAACAGGCAAGGGGGCTCACAATCACCACTTTTGTCAGCAGGAAATAAAGTAAAATGTATAAAAGTGTGAAAAACTGGAGCGAAATTCAGATAATATTATTTATGCAAAAGATACATCATTAGACTTGGTGGGAGTGGGGAGAAGTATTATGGTGCTCCAAACACCCATGAACAGACACACCACAGAAGAGCAAACAGTAAAGACTAAAAACATAGCCAAGGCGCACCACTTTGTGAGTCATCCACACCATGGAAGAGACAGGCTCAGGAGGCACAGCTCAGTTCCCTAGGAGGCCAGCAGGTGACACATGGAAGGCAGGTGGGAGGTGGAGCCCAGGACCTGTCCCTGGCTCGGTGGGAATGCTCCCTGCACATCCAGGAAAGACTTGGTCACCTGGGGAGGGTGTGTGTACTCCTCCTGCCCATAAGTCCCTCTGCTAGAGGGTGTGTGCTCCGGAGAAGTCCATCACGGTGTCCCCAGAAGGGATTACCCCCCTGGGCAGTGGTTAATGTGCAGATGAATGAGATGCTTGTGCTGAGAAGGTGCTGGGGCTTCTGCAAGCCATACTGAGCCTTGAGGATTTCCCTGTCCTGCCATCTCCCTCCTTAGTCCTTCTGACCCAGTGCTGTCCTCCTGATTCTGAAAATATCTTTGACCCTGTGTATCCCTCCCTGTCCACAGAGCCCAAGGTGGTGTTTGCCAAGGAGCAGTCTGCACACAGCGAGGTGAAGGCCATGGCTGGGGCCAGTGCCACGCTGAGCTGTGAGGTGGCCCAGGCCCAGACGGAGGTGACGTGGTACAAGGATGGCAAGAAGCTGAGTGGGAGCTCGAAAGTGCGTGTGGAGGCCACGGGCTGCACCCGGCGGCTGGTGCTGCAGCAGGCGGCCAAGGGGGACAGCGGGGAGTACAGCTGCGAGGCCGGGGGCCAGAAGGTCACCTTCCATCTGGATGTCCCAGGTCAGTTGACGAAGCAGAGGTTTAAGCACCCTGGGAACAGGCCTGGAGACATGTTTCAGTGTGTGTGCAGGGGCTGCAGGCAGCGACCCTCTCAGGGCCTGTTCAGCCAGTTATTTGTTGTTGAGTAACAAATATCTCCCAAACCTAGAGGCCTGGAAAAACCTGATTACTGTCCCGATTCTGTGGGTCAGGGCTCAGTGGGGTTGGCTCTTCTCTGCTCCTGTGGTATTGGCGGCGACATAAGGAGCCAGCCTGACCTCATTCACGCATCTGACACCCCAATTGGGAAGGCTCCCAGGGGAGGAGCTGATGGGGGTTTAGGTCTCCCTCTTCAGTGATGTTGGCTGGTCTACTTCTCTTTCTGAGACCCCATTCTCTTCTGGTGGCATCTCACCCACAGGCCTTTTTCTTCACTGGCCAGTCTGGGCTCCTTCACATAGTGTCTGGGTTCCCTCAGGGAATGGTGGATACCATAGGGCTTGCTAATATCTATCTCCAGCCATCCCAGAATGTCACCCCCTCTGCATTCCCTCTGTGCAAAGCCAAGGATAAGGCCAACTTGATTCCAAAGGGGGAGAAGTAGGGCAGTGGCTCCCCGAGGACCACATCCAGCAGTCTCTCACAGGGACCTGGCAGAGGCTCAGGCGCTGTCTGTCTCTCATTCTCCGCCATCCTAAGCATTTCACCGTTTTCATTCTAATGCTTATGGTCACAAGATGGCTCTCACAGCTCCAGCCAGCACCTTCAAGATGGGAAGAATTGCAAGGGATGTTTTTATATTTTTACTGCTGTGCAACAGATGATGACATACTCCGTGGTTTAAAACTGCCTATTGATGGGCTCACCGTTCTGTAGGTGGGAAGTCTGAGCCTGGAGTGGCTGGATTTTTGGCTCAGGGTCTCAGAGGTTGGAATCCACATACCATTCGTTGAGTCCTCTGGGAGTCCTCTTCCAAGCTCATCTAAGTTGTTGGTCACTTCCCTCCCTGGCAGGTATGAGTGTGAGGCTGTTTCCTGGCTGGCTGGCTGGCTGGCAGATGGAGGCCACTTTTAGCCCTTTGCCATATGGTCCCTCCCTTTTCAGGCCAGCCGTGGAGAATCCCCCTGTGTCCAGTCTTTGGCCAGAAAGGGCCCTTCCCCTCCAGGGCTCCCCTGATGAGTTTAGGCCCACCCAGGGTCATCTCCCTTTGATGAATTAAGAGCCAGCTGATCTGGGACCTAAATTCCTTCTGCAGAATCGCTCACAGCAGTGTGCACATGCATTATTGTGTTTGGCGGGCTAGCTTGGAGAGACTGTGTGAATATCTTGGAGCATTTCTATCTAGCACTGGGTGTCACCTGTTGTCTCTTCTGTTTGGAAGGCAGGTGCTTTCCTTTCTGGGAGCCAGAAGAAGTTTTCCCTTAAGCCTTTTGCCAGGTGTGGGTCCCACAGTCACGCCCTGCTCTAGGCAGCCTGGGAGATGAGCCCCTGACCTTCCTCTCCTGTTAGTGGGACATCGAGACTAGAGGAGGTGGGTCTGTTGAGGGGCTGTGTGGCAGGTTGGCCCACACCCACATCAGGGTGGTCAAACCCTTCCAGGCTGTCTGTGAAGGGAACAGAGTATGGACAGGGTCAGAGCTCAGTCGTGCCTCTTAGCAGCTGGATGACCTTGGGCAAGTTGTTAATGTCCTGCCCCCCTGAGATTCACACCCATTGGGGACTTCAGATTTTAGCCTTTGGTGGAAATAGGGTCTCTGCAGATGTCCTCACTGGGTGATCTCTAGACGAGATGATCTGGATGAGGTAGGCCCTGAATCCAGTGACAGGGGTCCTTATAGAAAAAGGAAGGGGAGATTTGAGACACACACACAGGGAAATCACCATGTGACAACAGAGGCAGAAATGGAGGGATGTGGCCACAAGCTCAGGGATGCTTGAGGCACCAGCAGCTGGAAGGGGAAGGAAGGACCCTCTCTGGAGCCTGTGGCCCTGTAATATCTTGATCCTGGGCTTCTGGCCTCCAGACCTGCAGAGGATAGATCCCTGTGGTTTTAGCCCGGTGTGTGGTCACTTGTTCTAGCCTCCTGGGGGCTCCTGCAGTCATCCTCTGTATCTCAGTGTTCTCTTTGTGAAGTGGTGGTAATAGAGCTTCTAGGGCTGAGCTGAAGGACTGCCCCCTAAGCCCACCCCTGCTGCTCTGCAATGGCACGGGCCACTTCCCACCACCTCCCTCCAAGCCAGCGTGAGTTCTGACCACTGGACTGGGTTCTGGGTATGAGGTAGGCAAGGGAAGGTCTGAGCTTGCTTGGTGGGCCAGAGATCCAGGCAGCAGGCCTTTGTGTTGGTCTTGGAGGATGAACCCAAGTGTGCCAGGCAGGCAGTACAATAGGAATTGTGCATGTGCCCGGGTGTCCAGAAAGTCCTGGATGGCAGCAGCTGGCTGTGTCTGAGGATTGGGCAGGAGGCTGAGCAGGAACTGTGTTGGATTATTAAGGCCAAGCTTTCCAAACCATGGCTTTCTTTGGAACACACTTCTCTGAAGCGGGACCCAGAGACCTGTGTGTTCACAGGCTCACACAGCTCTGTCAAGTTTATGCACAGAGAAGGGACACTCTTACACCCGGCCAGAGGCTTCCTTGGGCTGCATAGCGAGGGGCTGGAGGCCCACAGGCCTCTGGGGCTGCACCCCAAACTGGTGGTCTTTGCATAGAGTTTTCTTTAAATTGAGCTTTTAAAATTATTTATTTATTGATTGATGAGAGAGAGAGAGAGAGAGAGAGAGAGAGAGAGAGAGAGAGAGAGAGAGAGAGAGAGAGGGAGAGGAGAGAGAGAAAGGGAGAGAGATTTGTTGTTCCACTTATTTATGCATTCACTGGTTGATGTTTATATGTGTCCTGACCCTGCGGGCAAAGTTTTTTTGGTAGTCTCTCTTTCATTCCATTGATCTGTGTGTCTGTTCTGTGCCAATACCACAGCACTGTTATGATTATTACTAGAGGCCCAATGCATGAAGATTTGTACAAGAACGTGCCTTTCTTCCCCTGGCTGCCAGCACTGCCTTTGCTCTGGCCCAGAGGCACTTTCCAGCTTCTCACACTGCCCAGAGGCCTAGAGCTGCTGGAGCAGTGAGGAACTTCTGCCACCCACCCCGCCCCTGGCCACTCAATGCCTGGATATGCAAATTAACCCTTTATATTTGTTGGGTTAATCTGCATACTCACTCCTGATTGGCTGGTGGGTGTCATGAAGGTATGGTCAATTTGCATCTTACTCTTTTATTAGTGTAGATGGCTTTGTAGTATAGTATGAAATCAAGTGTGATACCTCCAACTTTATTCTTCCTCATTCATGGTTGGCTATTCATAGTCTTTTGTGATTCCATATAAATTATAGGATTATTCTAGTTCTGAGAAAAATGTCATTGGTATCTTGATAGGAATTGCATTGAATCTGCATGGTTATTTTAGCAATATTAATCCTTTCTATCCATGAGCATGTCTTCAACTTCTTTCTTCAAGGTCTTCAGAGTACAGGTCTTTCACCACCTTGGTATTTATTCCTAGGTATTTTATTTATTTATTTATTTTGTTGCAGTTGTAAATGGGATTGGTTGCTTAATTTTTTTTGTCTGATTGTATAGGAATATGAGGGATATCTGTATATGAACTTTATATCCTGCTACTTTATTGAATTCTTTTACTAATTTTACTAAAGGCCCAGTGCACAAATTTGTGCATGGTTGGGGTCCCTCGGCCTGGCCAGTGATTGTGGCCCATTAGGGCTGGGTCAGCTGCAGGGAAGGACCGTGTGAGGTTGGCTGGGTGGGGGGAGGTGCTGCGGGACCTTGGCTGTGGGACACACTGACCACCAAGGAGAGCTCCTGCGTTGAGCGTCTGCCCCCTAGTGGTCAGTGTGCATCATACCAACTGGTCGACTGGTCGTTCTGGTTGTTTGGTTGTAATGGTCACTTAGGCTTTTATATGTATAAATTAACTTTTTGTGTGGAATCTTTAGGTTTTATATATATAGTACGGTACCAAGTCATCTGCAAATTGTGATAATTTTATTTTTTCCTTTCCAATTTGGGTGCCTTTTATTTCTTTTCTTTTTTAAAATATATTCTCATTGGTTTTAGAGAGGAAAGGAGGGGAGAAGAGAGACAGAAACATCAACGATGAAAGAGAACCATTGATCTGCTGCCTCCTGCATGCCTCCCTTCCCTCCCCCCACACCCTGGGGATCGAGACTGCAACCCAGGCATGTGCCCTTGACCAGAATTGAACCTGGGATCATTTAGTCCATAGGCTGACACTCTATTCATTGAGCCAAACCAGCTAGAGCTTTTATTTCTTTATCTTGTTGGATTGCTGTGGCTAGGACTTCAGTACTACCTGTATATATAAAAGGCTAATTTGCTAAGTGTCCAACAGTCTGGGTAATGATGTCAAGTATCAATGCCCGGCTTCGTCTCACTATCAACTAGCCTCCTTGGAGTTTCTTCAGCCCAAGAACACGGCTTGCTTTATAGTCAGGTGGAAACACTTTACTCTTTAACTAAATGTCTGTGAAGTGTTTTCCCGTGCCTCATCTCATTTGATACTCACAGAAGTCCTAGAGTAGGTAGATAAGAGACTTGGTGGAATCCTGTTTTCTTTTCATTGGCTGGAAAATGGAGATTTAAAAAGCTTAGAAACTTGACCCAACTGAAAGGAAGTAAGAAATGGTGGATCTTGAAAATGACTTCAGGTTATCTCACTGCACAGAAGATAGTCAAGCACTGCTGCAGTTAATATTTTACCCTTTGTTCTCCCTGCATGATGTACAATAATAATCTGCTTCATGTTGATATTTACTGCTGTGTTGCTGACAATTACCTGAAAGAAAAGTTGGGGTGCTTCACTGGGATGGAAAAGTTTAGCTAAATCAGAAAGCAGGTTTAATTAAGCAAGTTTATGCTACTGTATATCTATAAAAGGCTAAGTTGACTTGCGCATGCGCTATACATATGAAGTTCTGCTGGA